GGAAGGTGAGCAGGTACATGTCGAATCCATGAGGTTCACTAGGAAAAAGTGAAATGGATCCTAAGATATCTAAAGAGTAATGTGGATTATGACTTATTGTTTGATGGATTATTAGAAAATGTTAAGTCCTTGTTTGACTACATTGATGATGACTACGGACAAAATTTATACAAAAGGAGTTTACAAGTGAATATGTGTTTATACTTGGCATTAGTTAGAGATCTACCTTGCAAAAGTGTGTAGTTCAATCAACAACGAAAGTTGAGTATGTGGCAGTAGTAGAAGCATCAAAGAAAGCTATTTGGTTGGATAGGCTTATCATGGAGATGGAATTGACACAAGGCATGGTCAATTTTTATTATAATAGCCATAGTGCTTTACATTTGGCTGCAAATCAAGTCATGGATAGCGGAATAAAGCACATCGACATCAAGTATCAATTTATTAGACAATTGAGCTAATCAATATCAACGATATTGACCCTAAAACTCAATCGAACTTATGCATTGACCAAAGTTATTCCTTTAAAGAGTTTCATGCTACACTATACTACTATGCAAGTTGTGTATATGGAGCACAAGAGATAAAATTTTTAATTACCTCTGCATATTATAACTCTTTCATGTTATGGCTACGACTTAATTCTAGTTAATTTTTGAATTAACTAGAATTAAGTCATCTAGAACTTTCCGTTGAGTAATTATATAGGAGAGGTTACTTAGATTTCTTAACATGAGTTAAGCGGAAGATTGTTGAGTTATTTCTTTATGTTTTTACTCTATACTGTTATGGAAATAATAATTTTGATTAAAGAAATTATTGATATTTCTTAACACAAGTTAAGTGAAGATTGTTGAGATTAATTTCGGATAATGAGTAACCTCATATGTACTTATTTATAGCTGAAATTGGTCGCCTACGTTGGATATATATACCCTGATGCTTTTGTGGGTTATCTTATGTTTTCACCTAAAATAGTAAACTCTCTGAGTGTATTTCTCCGTGGAAGCTTTAAACAATTTAATTAAATGAAGATTATATTTTATTGACAAGTGGAAAAATCATGTAAAATTACAAAGAAATTTTACTACAAACGCAATCTTTAATTATGAGAACTAATTTTTTAATTTCAAAAACCGATGCCTAATAATCTTTGTAAACAACATTGAAATAATCAGGTTAATTCGCACCGTCCAAGATACAAACTTGGAAAAGTGGAATGCAATGCACATACACCACGACATACATTGTGAACAGAAAAGTAATTAAAAGTATCTCAAACTGTAGACTTGACATCATAGTCGCTAAGATCTTCAACTCTCTGATTGAAATTGAACTACATTTATTTCACATTTTACATTTTTAGATCATTTTATATTCCAAGACACATTACATACATTGAATATTGTCTTGCATTTGAATGACAAGTTAAACTCTCTACATTCTTTCAATCTCTCAGAATCTTTGATAGTATTATCAAAATTTACCCACCCCTATGCATGGATCAAGATCATTAGTTTGAAAGTTGCGTAGTATCTCTAGATATAAAGTTATCTTATAACATATAACAAAATCGATCAGGTTTCATCTGTCCAAAATAATATGAAAAATCTAAAATGTGTTCTATATGTAATATCATTGTGTTTGTATCTAGCAATGTACAACCACCAAGCATGAGATCACTTTCACTTGAAGAACATAAACCACTTTTGATTTAAGATGAAAAGTGATACTATTGCTTGCAGTAGAAAACTAAAAAACCTTACAAACGAAACTTACATGCAAATGTGAAGATTTTTTAACCTACGTTACTAGAAACAAATGAAGTCATTGTTAGAGTTTCATTGTTTGAAGTAGATTTGAGAGAGATACACAAAGTTCAATCCAAACATATATTAATTACAATCATTAGATGTATGAGAGCTTGATCGAGCTGTATCGGCTTGATAGAATCTTTTCATCTTTTTGAATCATTCAATAATTTACCTCTTTTGTTGATATACTAACTCGGATAAATTTTGAAAAATTGATCAAGTGCTAGACAAGTTAAGTAAAAAGAAGCATCCGGACCACCAGCTATCAAACTTGGTCAAACGATGAGCTCTCTTTCAATTTATAATGGATTTGACTATTCCACTAAGCTCACCTCTTTTTTGTTGGCCTCAAGCAGAGACATAAATTACGTTTTAGTAATTCCTACCAATTGCATATAATTTTGCAGATTCTTTGTCAAATTTGCAATGTTTTATACTAGTGATTTTGTAACACTAGCTCAAACATTTGAGATATGCATTCAAAAGTTTGAACTTATAAAACATGATAGGTCGCTCTCCGTAGTGAATTGATGGCTTTTACAAGATGTGAACAAACTTAAGAGGCCCAAACGTGCACCAACTACTCAAATTAGAGGTACAAGTTCTAATTTCTTTCGCATGCATCCATGAGCAATTACCATGTTGCTTGAGAACTTCGTCGTCCAAAAATCACATCCACATGAATATCAAGATCACTCCAAGAAAAGTTTGGGCCGGCTCGTCGAGGGCGCAAAACGTCAAATCGCGAATGACGGTGATGGTGAAACTCTTGGATGACAGTGACACAAGACAGACGTGCGTTTGCCGTCAGCCCGGATGGTTGGAATTTTTCTAACCAAAAGTCTTATTATGATTATCCGTCATTACATTCATCCACTAGGAGTGGAATGTATGATGAGGATGAGATATTATCTCCTTGTACTTTTTGATAAGAGCTATATAAAGGAGAGTAGAACTATTGTTGATATCTCTCTGATGTGATTTTTGCTTTTTTGTCTCTCTCAACAGTAATATCAATTATTGCGTAATTACATCGAGATAGTCAAAATCCACACGACAAAAAACACAAAAAATAATGTGATTTGTCATTCTGACTACGTTAACGGAAACACACAAATAATGTTAGATGAGCAAGTAAATTCACCGCGCTAAGTAATATTTTGGTCTCTTATTTAATTATGCAACTTAAATTTCATAATGTTGTGAAATGAAAAGTTCAATTGCTACAATATCAAAGAATCTCACCGAAAAACGTCTAAATGAATTCTAGCGTTACGTGATCATTTGAAAATTGAGCAAGACAAAAGCTTAAAGCAAACGCGCTCTAGCATGTGAGTATGACATTAACCAATGCGTTATCGTGATGATTTGAAAGAAACAAAAATTCAATTCTTGAACGATCCACTTTACAACGAAAAAAAGATAAGTAGAAGATCATCAGAGCTTTAGTTGGATGATTTATCGAACTTGAAAATATGATATACATTTGGATTGATAGCATGCATCGGGCCAAACTTCCTCTACCACCATCTTTTGCCATTGCAAAAGTGAAAAATATTGCTTATATATTATGCATTTCCGATTCAAACTTTAAATCTTCATGGCAATGACTTGATCATTTTAAGACACAAAGGTTTTTACATAAAGTGATTCTTTGTAAAATAGATGCAAAGATTGATAAAAATGATCCAAAATTATTATTAGCAATAGAAAAATTATACTCTATTATCGCTCACTACGATTTGTCTATAACATGAACGGAATTTGATTTTATTGTTTGTTTCCAAATATATCATTTTGATGCCAAACAAGTACATTTCAAGCACTAGAGTCAAAGAGTAAACAAAGGATTGTTTACTCTTTTATTTCTTTGATAGTTTGCGTCAACTCATCTAAAACACATAAAATACCTTGCGTAATGATTTGAAAGCTAAAATATCTAGCGTGCATTAAAGATCTACACTGACCAATTCCTTATTTCAATCAAGCAAAGTCATGGATGATTTTGAAAACTTGCTAGAAATTAATTCAACAAAGTTTTTGTTCCAGAAATCAAAAGGCGAACAATACTTCTTATTCTATATTCATTGATAAAGCGCCATGACACTTAGATGTCTTCGAACGCAACAATATCCGCGTAGTATTCCTTCCTTCCAATCATATCATATGGAAACAATCTTGTGATATGAGAATCATCGCCACTCTCAAGAAATCATACAAATATCTCTATTTCAAGTAGATACTTGACTTTTAAGAGCTTGATGAGGAGTAAAAGCAAAGATAAAAAGAAAACAATTACGACAAGCTGCTACAAGAGATTACTACGGAAATCTAGTGCAGCTGGTGGATGCCGCAAGCTATGTAAAAGAAGCATGGGATTCTATCTCGTCAAGCTTCATTGCAGATGCATTGCTCAAAAACTTGAAACCGGAATCAGCGACTGAGAGAGAAATGAATGTTATTGTCACTAAGTTGGTCCAAATCATCAAAAGCTTATATTATTGATCAATGAATCAGACTGGAAATATTTGTGAATATTTATGCCAAAAGTAGTGAAGAATGAATCACAACGGTGTTGAAAAAAGTCAAAGAGTTGTTAGAATCATTGAGGTTATTGAAGGTAGGCTTGATGAAGACAGTGATGTTAATCAACCAAATCAAATTTTATAGTCATAGTTAAGAATTGAATTTTATAATTTTGAGTCTTTGTATAAGAAAGTTCTTCATATTGAGTATAAGCTACTCTGCTTTAACGTTCAAACATAAGCCAAAGAATCATTCGTCCATCTTCAATTGTTTGAAGAGTTCCAGTGCAAGGTATGAGTAGTTGTACGTGAGACTTACGACAATTCATGCTATGTTACACTAAAAGCTTGTAAACAAAATTTGTCATAATATGCATATTTAAACGGGTGTGTACTTAAGTGAGAGTCTACTCTACCGCAGAGACACATTCAGTTCAATCAAAAGGTAAATCCCACTATTCTGATTCTCTAGACCCATCATCATGTGTAATTAAAGCATCCTTACCAACTAGATTACACCTAACAAATTGTGGGGGTTGAAACAAAAATTAAATTGATGGAGAATCTCAAATTTTGTAGTAGAAAATGATAAATAAAATATTTCATTTGTATCAAAAAGTTCTTCAAAAATATATCATAATTTCAAATAATGGATCTTCGTGTACAGTTTGTATTTTCTTCTTTGAAAGACAAAAATAGTCATGAAGCTAATACTTAAGTAATATAAAACGAATGAATCTACCCCTGCAAATGATTTGCAACCTGTCCCATGCATTGTCCAGGGTAATAATGATTGCATTATCCATCATCAACTCAATACTCATTTTGAGATTGTGCAGAAACGAGAAACTGGCCAGACCGGTCGGAGGTACTTAGAGGCTTATTTGTCCTCGAGGTTTAACCGAAAGTCGGTTGGCTTTGTGACAGCCAACGTGAACGCAGCGGGGAGAATGCACAACTGACTAGCACACTCGGTGAACGGCGAGCATCAATTTGTCATGAGGCGCCATGAGCTGGATCCGATATGTCATGATGTTACTGTGAGCTAGTGTGAGGCGAGCTTGCTCGACGTCGAATCGAAGTGTGTCAGTTCCAGTTTGCCCATAGCACTCCCCGGTGTCCGGTTCCTCCACTTCCATGGCGCGTGATCCCTTTCTGCCGCCTCCATGTGAGAACCCATGGCCACAGACCGAGGGCTTTTCCATTCGTAGAGATGTCAGTTCCACCAGCATCTCAAACAAAGTCCTCCACCGATTTTCGGCTCGAGGTGATGATCGAGGAGAATGCCTCGATGTCTCACTTATCTGAAGAATGCAAGCAACCGCACCATCATGTCCGACCGCGTGGACCGGTCACAACCAGGACTTGGGAAATCCTCGCGACCGCCTCGCCGGGGACTCATGGAACCCGACGCTCGCACCGTGCCCCGGCGTATCTGACAGTTCGCCCTTGTGGATGAAATGCTGCGGTAGCACCGGGCCCACCGATGATGACTGCTGACTAGACCCCGTTCCGCGAGTCATCAAAACCCGAACGTCGACCCCGCCGTCAGCTTCTGTCCATCCAAACCAGTTCGGCTCGACCCGGAGGTGGAGTCGTGAGCTCGACAGCGAGAGATCAACGGCGCATGCCGACCAATCCGAACCTGGGCGACGGTAAGTTGCCTTCCCGTCCCGAGGGCTCTACAGAACGCACCTACTGTTCTAGCAGATTGGATTTGCCGACGACCGTGGCGTCACTTGGCTCTGGACGCCGGAGTGGACAGGAATAGATTGTACGGCCCCCGCGCCAGTTCACGAGAGGTGATCCTTCACGACGGGAGCTCTGACATCCGCAGTCATGTCAGAGCTTCCTTTATTCTCCTCTCCTGCGGGAGAATCTCGGCTGGCTATAATTCGCAATTCCTCAGTCAAAGATCGGGATCGAATCGTTCGTTTGCGATCATGATAAGACCGCTCTAAAGGCGCGCTCGTAGACGTAGCGATGCTGCGATCGCAGCGAAGGAAAGAAAAGGCCAAGACGGAGGACGGAGAACGAAATCTTCCGTTACGGTCGCACATACCGTTCGGATGGTTTAACGCTGGACGGTGCGTGCTGACGATGATTGGCTAACGTGACGAGGACATTAAGTGTGCTGGACCTGGGAGAAAGTTACGCGAGTGACCTGGCCTTCGTTCGGCCTTGGCGATTCCAGCTCGGACAATCTCGATCATCGGCCCGAGACGATGGACTCGAAAGCCAGCGGCGGCATGAATGAGAGCAAACGCCATAACCGATCGACAAGAACCCAAAAGTCAAATCACTGAGCCGAACCCACCACGCCGGTCACTCGGTACCCGATGGCTGCTGACTCTGTTACTGGAAGATCTGGCCGTGCTCCCGACTGGCGAACCAAGCATTGGACCGGTAAAGTGACCGAGAAAACCAGACCCGGACCCCGACCCGGACCGACTTACCGGGCACTCCAGGTCGGCGCGCGCAGTCTTACTAGCCTCCGATCCTCTCGAGGAAATGTGGATAACTTCAAAATTCCGATAAACATATGATATTTCCTATTGTGCTCTCAATTGTGTGAAAAAGAGAGAGAGAGAGAGAGAACGGGGAGAATATTGAGCACCAGCAACGGAATCGAAGCAATCATGTACACCCTGGATATGGCCATGAGCGAAGATGCCGATGCTGAAGATTCCAGGCCATCTACCTTTGTCACCCGGGAAGCACTTCGGAAGGTGAAAAGAGCAAGCACAACCTTTTCCGAATTGTCCAACAGAGAAGTGAAGAATCCCATGGCAGAATCCGAACACAGATAGTGAACATGGTGCCGAGCGAGAGATTGTATGGCCCAGAATCTCCTGAGTCTCATTCTCTCGAGCAGGTACCGATGGGTACCGCAGGGAACTTTTGCGGAAAGGAGTTGTCCGAAGGGGAAGCAAGGGAGTCAGCGTGGAATAGCTTTGTCCAGCCAGGGAGGGGTCAGAAATATCAAGGACAAGAAACCAGACCAGGGGTTGAGGTCGGTAACCACGGCAGGGGGTGGCCGACTGTGACGCCGGGCTGTCAGCTGACGGCACCATCGTGTTCCCGTCGGCTGATGAACCCGGTGGTGCGAGAAAAGCACCATCGAGGCGGAGACACGTGTCCGGCAAGTTGGCGTGCGCTCGCTTCCCATCTTCCGCTTTCAAATCTCGCCGTTCCGTCGACCCAAGTTGGTCGCCGATCCGAGCCATCGAACGAACGAACCGCGACATCGAACGGATAAGGAAAGGAGCACAGCGCAACCTGAGACTGCGAGCTCTTCTTTTTCTGCCTGCTGCCCGCCTGCCCGCCTGCCCGCCCGCCCGGAGCTCAGAGAATAGCGAGCAGGGTTATCTTCTCCCGGCCGGCTGGAGCCCCCGTCGGGCTCGGGCTTGTCCTCGAGCGCGAGCGCAGAAAGCAGCAAGAGCTGAAGAGCTCGATGCAGCAGCAGGAGTTTCAGTCGCCTCTGCCCTCCCCTCCCCTCGCCCAGTCTTGCGCACCCCCGCCTGGCCTCGGCACGCCGCTCGCACCTCTCGCCCCGCGATCGATCGATCGATCGACCCACCGACCGAGCGGTTGATCGAGTGCTCGATGTGATGAGCACGCAGGCCCGACGATAGCATCACTTCCCCGCTAGGTCAGTTGGTCGTCGGGAGTCGCTCCTTCCGCTCCGGTGTGCCTCGTCGATCGGCCGGTGCCTCGATTGACTCGCTCCTCTGCGGGCTCGAATTGAGGAAGAAGGGGTCGAGCGCCCCGGTTTCCGCATTCGCCAATTGGGCTCGAGTGGCGGTCAATTTTGCTCTCTGCCGCACAGGAGGGCGAGGCGTCGAAAGTCCGCGTGGGTGGAATTGGCAAAGGTGTCCTGATTTCGGGTTCTTTAGATAGAGAAGGATGGCGGTCGTGTTGCAGGTGGCAGCGGCTCCGGCGTCGATTTTGATGTCGCAACAGACCGGAGGCCGCGTCGTGGCTTTGAGGTCGTGCAAGCTTGGCGCGGGAAGGCGGGTGCCGTCCGTGCAGCAAGGAGGATGGTTGCGGTGGGAGCGGACGGAGAGTCGTACATCTCAGTGTCAGTCGAGCATGTCTTTCAACAATGGCAGCAGCGCTGCCGATTCCGGGTTCAGCGAGAACGATGAGGACTACGTCGATTCGACCGTGGTCGAAGCTGGTGAGACTTGCGCCTCGTCCTCGTAGTGCTCCCCGAGTGGCCCAATTGGGGGCCCTCGACGCGAAACTGCCCTTTCATTCTTGTTAAGAGACAAGATTTGCGCGTCTTGATCGGTGCTCTGCTGTCTTTCGAGTTTCGGCACATGTTTTCCTTTCTGGTCTCTCCTATTGTCCCACTCGTCGCAAAGCATTCCTTGGTTTTCATTCTAGATTTTGTTTTCTTCTCGGGATGCCGGAGTGAATTCTCCCCCTAAATGTCATGCTTCGTTGGCAATCGAGTTGCATTTCTTCGATGCGGACATGTATGTTGGACACGGATACGAAAAGTTCACGGTAGAGCGGCAGTAGTAGTAACCGAAATTGCGCAAGTTTTATCATTTCCGCAATTCTGTCTTGGAACGCGCTGGAACTTTTATCGGCCTTGATCGAGACAACCTAAGCGTCCAGACCCTTTTTTAATAGTCACCTGACGTGCCTCAATTCTCCTACGTGCTCTACGACCACAGAGTTCCTTATTTTCCGGGAAATTGGTTTGAAATCATTTCGGGCCGTGAGGTTGCTGTAAACTTGTCATGATCTCGTAGGCTATGGCGTCGGGCAATTTCGTATTCTACGTCAGCAATGGCTTCATATGTGTGTCTGTCCCTAGCCTCTCAACTTGTTTCGGACGATGACGTGTGTGCAGTGGAGGTGAAGAGCGGGTCTGAAGGCTTTCTCATCAAAATGCGCGATGGAAGATTTGTGAAGTGCGTTCACAACAACCCGGAAGGAGGACATCTTCCAGATTATGCCCCACAGCCTGCTATCGTGCTGAAGATGGAGGATGGGAGCGATTTGTTGCTGCCCATTATTGTTTGTGAGTATTTGCAACCCGTTCCCATTCATAATGAACAGGTGCTTGCAATTCACATGTCAATTGGGTCCTCAACCTCTTCACTATGCGGCCTTCTTGTTTTCCCCTTTGTGCTCGAGGCTGATAGAAGTACGTCTGTATTACAATTCTCTGAGGGACGTGACTTAACCTCTGATTGCACCTTTGACAGTGGAGTTGCCCAGCACCATGCTCATGGAGGCAGTACGAAACGTCCAAGTGGTATGTATCTGAGTTCCGGCTGAACGTTCCCCGTTCTGCATCTTGCCCTTGGACGTTGTTGTCTTGTAGTCTATATGCTGTTGATCGTTAGGTGCTGGAAGCATAGCCATTCTTTGCACAGTTGTCAGCAAGATGGTGAATATCTTCGTCAGCAGTTGGACTGCGATAAACGCCGACACAGCATCCTAATTGCGCCTTTCGTTGGTGTTTTTTCGCAGGCTAGACCAACAGTCTACCAAGTGATGAAGGATATGCTCGAATTGATGGGCTATGAGGTGCAGTTTAAACTTTAAGCTAAGCTCGACGTTGTGCGAAGCAGTTGTAAGTTGTCTGACGAAATTGGAAATAAAACTTACGTGGAAATCTCTCTTTTTTCCAGGCCAAGCTTGTACGGGTAACTCGGAGAGTTCAGGAGGCGTACTATGCGCGCATTTATGTCACCAAGGTATGAACTGAATTTGAATTGAACTGGAATAATCAAGACTCTGAGTGGTCTGCAATGATTCGTCCTGTGACTGAGTTGAAGTCCTATTCTGCGCAGGTGGGAGATGAAACTCAGAAGATGGTGTCACTGGACCTGCGGCCATCGGACGCCATCAACCTCGCTATCCGATGCAAGGTATAAAATTGTCTAAAGGGCTACTTTGGTTGTGTCCTGTTACGATCCTGTTCTTGAACAGTCATGATTTTCATTATAATCATGTTAAGTTTTTGTTCTTCTTTCACGTCAGTCCCCAAGTTCAAACTTCTGAAGATCGCAACTACTATACCTCGTAGCTTGCTACTAGGACAGGTCTCCTTCCATACCCGCGATATCTTAGTTCGTTCGGTGTCCGTCAACAAAGGCTGGCTCGTCCTGATCGTGGATATGGTGACGCAGATCCCTATTCAAGTAAACCGGGAGCTTGCCTACGGTGACGGAGTCAGAATTGTCAATGATCCCGCCAGATTACCATCTCGTGCTCTGCGAGCCAATGTGGGGATAGTGCTAACAGAACTGGACAGGTACGATTTGCGAACAACTTCTTGATCTCCAACGCATCTCTCTTCCGTTCTCCCGCTTCTTGTGTACAGCAACAAGTTGGGTCTTACACCTTCATGGGTTTTTCTGTGTCACACAGGCCCGAGTCAGATTCCTGTGCAGCAGCAGAGGAGTTTGTTCTCGTGCGCAGCATGATGATGGCTGCCATTGAGGAGCGCTACAGTGACGCAGGTAATTCACCTAGCAATCAGATTATCTCAGAGTCACTATGAGTGGCTCTGAGATAATATAATTGATACACAGGTGTGATTGAAATAATCTTTTATTCCACCTCAGAAAAAACAACCCACCTTTTGGCTAAGTACTGGTGTATGGTGAGAAGTCCCAGCAGAGGACCAACCCTCTTCATTCTCTAATAGTGCTCTCGTTTTTGAACTCCCTTTGCATTCAATCCTACTTCTTCCCAAATATAGCACTTGTACTTCCTACCGGTACCACTCCGCCAGGGTGGCTATTCTAGTTGCCCGTCACAGCCTGACGGGCAAATTCTTTTCAGCACAGCTTGTTGTAAGCCCTCGTTGGAGCAACTTTCTCACGGTGTTCTTGTTCCTACAGCTCGCTTAAGAGATGAGTTGAGTCAGCTGAGGACAAAGAAGAGGCGCCAGCAAAAGCAGGTGTGTAAAAAGTACAAGAATGCTGCAGTCATTGATCTGAGTGGTACAAAGCAGAGAAAATGTGCACCGTTAGTGACTTCTCCTAGCATCTAACTTTATGAGTTTCTGTTCTGCAGACTTGAAGCCTCGATTTAGAGCCACAAAGCTGGCTGTAATTTGACGATTCTTTGCGTGTAATTGAGACGCATGCAGTCACGGTCGTGATAGTCGCCCTTGTCTATATAGTGTACATAGGTTACGTACCTGGCCGAGTGTGATGTTTGACACGCTTGAGGCTGATCTGTTTGACCCCGTTAGCGAATCGAGGCCGGCAAGTTTCCATCTTTTGTCTCTTTCCTTCGCTGAAGGTTTATTATCGTTCTAATGTAAATCATGGTTACTGCGAATCTAAGGGTAGCTTAGCTTGCAGGGCCTGTATATAAGAGACGGAGTCTCGATGTAAAGAATCCAGTCGCAATCTGTCTCTTTGGACTCCGCCGCCGGAAGTTTGGAAGTTGACTTGTAAATACATTGAAAACCTGATCTGGTTATTATTGAATCCATTCTTGGGGTATTGATTTCCGGGAAAAAGGAGATGGTATTCCATTCCTTGTAAACACTGTTCTTATATCTGTTCAAACATTTGTCGTTTGAACAAATTATTGTTGTTCTGCAATTATTAGTACTTTATCCTACTTTTGAAAGGCTTTCTATCGTCTTGCGACCCTGCCTCTGTCTCTTCCGGTATGGGATTGAGCCGGGCTTGGATTTTGATGACTTTATGTGAGAAGTCTGATTGACATTGGCGTAAAGCAGGGAACCATATGTGTATTCGAAAATGCTCTCGGTGAGTGGTTTCAGCCGCTTTACTTCCTCGTCATACCACATGATCGTCGTGTCTTCGTTGGAAACAAAAGGGGATCTTTGAAGAGCATTTAGCATCTGAATGTCTTACCCTTCGTCAACGAAGGGGAAGACATGGTAAAAACTGTCGAAGTCTCTCCATGATAACGAAATGTCGAGTGAAACATTAGGGGGGAGAGATATGTTGGAGTAGAATAATTTAATTAGCCTAGTGAAAGAGAAAGATAAATGTCGTTAAAAAAATTATTTTGTCTCTACTTCGTTGAAACGGATTATGAAAGCAGCGAAATTCCCCCCGTCCGAAGAGTAAGCCTGAAATAAGTAGACGATAAAGACTCAACCTGTGAACAGATTGAACTCGAAAGAGATATGTACCAGAATTATCCTTAAGCCCGCATGAATCTTGGCAATTCGTTCTTTGCAACCTAGAGCAACTTACTTCAACAGACAGAAACCTGGACTGGATCAAATGGTGGATCACCAGTGGCAGGTATGCCTCGACGTTGTCTGTTGCGTGGGCCGTCAAAATCGTGCACAATCGTGGGGCATGGACTTTTAGGAGAATTTTCCGTATTCACCTCCTCAAGCCCTCATGTTCAGCGTACGTCAGTTCATAACTCCACCTGACACACTCCTGCGCGGTGCGGATGTTGGATCTGGACGTGTAGGGACTAGTGATCTGTACATATAAAACCCGAGTATTATACAGGGCATCAAAAGTCCATATATATTTTACTGTTAATAAATCGACTTGAATTTTACTAACTGTGAATGATTTTAATTCAGAATTTCTGCTTATCTTTGCGCTGTTCCTCTTCTCCGTCCCTTCCCTTCGATTCTTTCTCTTACGACATTACTAAGTACCTCTAGAATTCTTCCTGGTAGAAACAAATCATCTCATAATACGGTCATCGTATTTTTCAACATCTGCTGGTAGGAAAAGAAGGTTAATCACTGAATTTGCCATCCCACAACGCAGTATAGAAGTTTCTTGTAACACTATGACGAGCAACCACATTGATTTTACTTGTTTGCATGACTCTACTCTTCTTTGTGGTGCTTGTGAGGGTAGACACGTGTCGACATCGGAGGATTAAACGGAGCAATGTAATATCTCAACCGTTAGATCACTGTACAGAGTCAATTGTGTATAATACAGTATTAAATTCACCAAATTTCGAAGCTGAGTATTATACATAACCTTAGTAGGACGTTGAACGCTGAGTCAGTCATTGGTCATGCCAACCCAGTGCTCTTGTTGTAGCTCTCACCTGCGCGGGAGAAGCTTTGTTAGAAGGGCCGGGAGAACGAGAGAGCTCGGCATTTCCGTGAGCAAAAAGTGTAATGTTAATTCTCGATCTGGACATGTTTATACTTAAACTCTTGTGAATAACAACAAATGTCATCATATCCTGTTAAATGAACGAATGAAACAGTAATCCCCTCAAGTCAGAAAAACAAAATAAAATAATACGCAGAATGATTCATGAACTGTCCATTCATAAATCTCATCATGAGTTTCAAATGATGCAAAAACTGGAAAGACATTTGTCCATCGACGTCCACAGAGTCAAATTCTAACATTGGCAAGTTAGCCGTAAGAATCAGATTGCAGAAAACAGTTCCAACGATGGGCCCTTCTTGTCCTCGCGCGGCAGAGTTGGGGAAAAAATCATGTTGTCATTATCCTCGCACTTAAATATTTAATCCTCTTGGCTGTTCACTCGGCCCTATGGGATTCTACTTTCGTGGATCATGATTCTGAGACGCGCGCGTGTTTCGTCAATCCGAAACCCTTCTGCTTCTTCCACTGTGACGCAGAACACTCCGTTGGAGATGCGAGCGTCGATGATCTTCGCTATGTCGACGAAGAGAGGTAAGCATTCCGAGAATGAGACGTCTGCCCACGCGGAATTCCTGTCGGATAGACTTCACGTCGCGATTGACATTGCCCGCAGAGCTGCCGGCGCTTGCAAATTCTTAAACACCCGTTTCGAGAGTTGTAGCAGCTGTTCCGAGAGACGATCGCATCCGGTTCGAGAGGAGAGACATTGCACGCTCGAGCAGTGCAATGTCACCGGTGGCTCTTGGCTCTTGCATTTCAACGATCGTGAGCTGAGATTTGGTCCATTCGGCAGGACTGCGGATCGCGGGTGTTTCTTCGTACTGACATTTGCAGGGAATCTAGAGCCCGGATCTCATGTCGCTGGGAAAAAGTCACATTACAGCGTTGACGATTGCCAGTAACAGCACCATGCGGATGAGTGAGTGGGGAAATCTCCTCAATACACGAATTGGGAAGGTCCGCTGGCTGATTCCATGAGAGTAAGGTCGACTTCACGGCCTGGCTCCTTGGAGTACCGTAATCCTGCTCTACTGCAGTGTCCGACATGTGCCCATCGGCCTCCACAGTTCTAGATCACATCAGAAGGGGCCAAGTAGAACCGCAGGAATGATGGAAAGATCCCACATGATGAACACCACCGGGTGACATTGGGCTAGGAAAAAACCATAGTACCATTGTGTTACCTGGATCTGTTCGGAGGTGTCCATAGTAACCAACTATTTACGTCACCTATCTACGTCAAACTGCTTCGATGGTTGCAGGCTTCGATGTCGTGATCTAAACAATGTCCGCATGTAAACTGGAAGCCTTGGGTGGATCACTGCAAACAGCGAGTGAGAACCATTGAAGATCCTATGGCATTCCATACGCACAGAGTTCGAAACCATTTGAGTGAATGTTCACCATGAATTGAAATCAAGATCTCTGCGGGGTTGGCAGGCAGTAAGTCAGAGGGATTATCATGCAACCGATTGTTGCAAGACATATATCATATGGTACAGACGTGTTGTAAACCTGTTGTTGTAGACCTAGTGCATATAGAGTTTGCCATGACCTCATGCCGGTGATATCATGCATGCTATGAGACACTAAAACGCCGCTTGATGAGCGGGAGGTTGGAGTTCGAATTGGTGTTAAGAAGTTTGCCTCGAAGATCTTTCTGCACTCCTGAAACTTGAAGCAGCAATGAGGAATTCATGACATCGCAGCAGATTATTGTGCAGCTACGCAGATTGATACGCAGGCTGTTATTTTTGTAGTAACTTGACGCACAAAGAAGAGACGGTCCCATGTATTCACACGTAAATTGTTTAGGTCTGAGAGATCTTTCTGTTGTCCGTTACTGTTGAAACTTGCTTACGACAAAGAAGAATAGTCGAGGTAATACAAGAGATACAGGCAAGGCGAACTGAGATGGATTAAAATTTACTCCAATATGTTCTTCCTCATTTACAACAGGATTTCGAGTGTTCCTACTTCAAGAAGTACTGTATTACAAGCTCATATCTTCCTACAACAGTGTACAAGTCAATTATCAAATGGAAAACATCAGGGTCTCCACTCACCACTTAGCACATTGCACCTGGTTGATGCTGCCAGCAAACAAGAGGAAGTAACACTAACCACAAGGAATATGCGACGAAAAGAAGAACTTTGTCCTTCCCGAGACAACTCATGAATAACTACCTGCGTCAAGAGACTGATCGATTTGTACACAATATTTCATAGGGACAACTGAGTCTCATTTCAATCCGTCCACTTAAAATTCACAACGGCGAGTCTATTGTATTCAGACTATGACAGGCACATACTACTGGGCGACGCGGTCCTCAGACGGCATGAGCATTATGTGAACCATCGAGCTGCGGGTTATTTTCTTTTGTAGTAGGCCTTCACATCACAAAAAACGAGTCAAGTGATTCAATTGGGTACAAAAAGGTTTGAACAAAAACACACACGCTAGATGAAAGTTTATTGTGTTATCAATTGACTATCTGTACATGACAAAGTCTGCATTCTTCGCAGCGGCACGCCCATGTCTAAGCAATGTTTTCACATGATATCGGAATTAAACGAAATCTAGAATTGCAACGACACAATGATCTCGGGGGGTCGTAAGTGCAAAGAATGCTCACATTATCAACGTTTTCAATCCCAGGCGATGAACTCTTAGTCGAACGGGCTGCTCACCCTCTTCCAGAGGAAACTTGCGAGGAAAATCTACAGAGGCTGCCAGTCGTAGCTTCGTATGTTCTCCAAGCCTGATTAAATGTTCATCAAACTCCAGACCTGTCGAAGGAAGCGAGACATTTGTCACCTCTGCCGGCCGGTGCCTGTCTATACGTTTTCAGTGGAAAAACTGTATTGAAGTATCTTCCAATGTGGAGGGGTTTGAGGTGCTTAAGTCACGAGCAAACTATAAAAACCATTTTACGTTGCCACATGAAACGCAGAGGGGAATTTCTTAACTCAAATACGTACTACTTTGCCACTGTCCAGCATAAGAATCTTCGTCATGTTAGTCGACAAGATTCATCACACTTAAGGGAACAGGTAATCCAGGAATTGGATCGAAAGACAGATAATACCTCCAGGTGTCAAATGCACCCCAGTTCCTAGCGGATTAAAAAAGCTGATCATCAGCCTAGCACCGGTGCTACTCCAAATCTCCTCAAAAGTCGTTGCGAGAGGTATTCTGCAAGCAACAATCAAGCGGTCAGTTGCATAACACCAGGCCTACTGCAAGACAATGATACTACTGCAAAAAAACAAGGTGACCTCTATGCAACTAACAACAAACTCTGATGTATTAGTATATCTCATGTATCTTACCTACCTACATTCAATCAAAACAGTAAAACATAAAAATTCGATTCACGGGCGAAGAAATTGGAGAACTTGGCAAGTATCTTTGGATTCTTTGGAGCATATCTTAAGAAAACCTGCTGTACTAGGAGATCTCATGTATATCACCTGACTACATTCAAATCAAAAAAGTAAGATAATAGATTCATTCACGAGCAAAAAAGTTGGAGAACATGGCAAGTGTCCTTGAATTTTTTTGAAGCAAATTTTAGCCAGGAAATTTTCGTTATTCACATTCACTACAGTGCCGTACGGGCCGGCACCCGGGTCAAGTGACACCTTCGAGTTGTGCGCAGCATGACTCGACACAAGGCCTGGCCGCTGACGAGCAACTGATGAAACCAAGCAAGCTAGAGTCGCTTGGTAATAAGAAATACGAGACATTTAATGGAAACAACTGAAGTTTCAATAGAGTGACCACATTGTCACGCAGAAAACAGTACTATGTCGTCTAAATAGAAAACACAAGTTGGAATATAATGATACACCTAGCACCTCACGTACCTATACTTCGCATTTATTGCTAGTCTGGTACCCCCTAGAGGCCATTTTCCTCGCAGCTCAATTTCTGGTACAGGAAGAAGATGCAACGCCACGTGCCTTGCCTTCAGCCGAAGCTTTGGATGCAATCGACCCTTATCCAACTCTACGTTGATCCCAAATCCAAAATTAATGTCCCAGTGCTTTCTTGCCTCTCCTATCATGTTTTGTGGGGCATCCCAAACCTGAATATAAAGTGCAAGCAAGATTTTTCAGATTTACTATCCAGGCTCCCGAAATACCGAACTGATGAACTCCTGTGGGTCTGCCATTCAACTTTTTTTTAAATCATTGTGGTTTGAAAAGTGTAAACCTACTTAGTGTCCTCAATTATCATGAATATGCCCTTCAAAAAACTCATAGTGACTTATAACCGGAACTTCTATTTTTGCAACTTCAATCGATAAGAGTAAGCAAATCTATGGTGTCAACGTGCAGAAGATTTGAGGCCTTCACATCCATCGTGAAATTTTGCTACCAACAACAACAATAATAGCCATCTCCTGATTTTGGCTCCAACAGACCAGCAATCTCGCAGTTACTTTGACAAACAAATTTCTCAGGAAGAAATTACTGTGAAGAAACATACACTGAACCTTCTTCTACCATAGACTTCTACCGAGATCACTTTCGTAAAATCAAGAAGAAAACGAATGAACTGTGGCAGATATGACACAAGATTTAGGTTTCGAGACCTTGAATAACTTATTCATCTAGCTGACATTCCCTATTACTCCTGAGCCTTCCATCCTGACTCCCAACTAATGGTTCAACCCATCCTTCAAACAGCAAAATTAGAAATAACTGAAACCAACCTGCATGAGCTTCAGACGGGCACCCCCTCCTTGGATTCCACTCAACCATCCTCTGCTTGTGTGTGTATCATCCTTGCCTTTAATAATCACAACATCAGAAAGTAAGACATGCAAAGTACAGACGATGATTCAACAAACAGTTGAGATCAAATTTCTTATCTGGACTGTATCTCTTAGTACGTGGTACTAATCCGCAAAACCTGGCTGTTGTCAAGTCGTGTAGACAGATAGTCTTTTGAGAGGCTCATTATTAGAAGTTGAACATTCCCTAAATAAACACGAAAACATCACAGCTTTCATAAGAGACTGGTCGACTGGTAGAGGGCAATAATTTTGGTAACTCGAAATTCCTAGGTTTTCTATTACAGGGTACATTTTAGTGTTCAGTTTTCAGGAACTAATAATTTCCAATGCCCAATTTACTCCTGTCAAAACACTTCACTGCAAGCCCAACTCCAGCAGCTTTGGCGAGGCAGGTGAAAAAGCTTGCAAGAAAAGGCAAACCATGTGTATGAACGACCACGATGAACACAAATTTCACCAAGGGAATTCAGTCTCTACAACACAATGCATGGGTATGAGACGCTTCGATGAGGCAAGACCAAGGCTACACAGAGCTGATTTCATAAAACATACATTTGGGAATCATTGACTTCTACCTCTGAGAGAAACGCTTATAACACTAAAAGGTCTAACAATTTAGACCAGGATTCACTGTTCACCACGGACATAGGTGTAAACGTGGAAATTAACAATGTGCAGCCACAAACTCTTTACCATCGTAATAATCACGGCCTCCAACAGAAGCAGAGGCTCCAGAAGGACCTCCCACTCCTCCGCCACGTCCACGACCAACCACCGGCCCATTGTACTTCAAACTCCGACTTAAGTCAATCCTCAACACAGTGCGCGATCCTCGCCAAACTGGCTGGATCAATCTGTGCACTAAATAGGATCCGAGAGTCTCATGCTCATCCGCAGGTCCAAAGAAAGGCTCCCTGGGGTTCCTGGGAAACTCATCCTCCTGCCTGCGATGCAGCCGCTGCTCAAATTCGTCAGCAGGAGAGGCATGTGGGGATGAAGGATGATAATCTGGAGCAGAGTGGTAAGGCGGGGCAGATGGCTCATATCCTCGAGGATAATCTTCATATGAGGAACCACTACTCCGTGGACGAGAATATGTCTCTACCATTGCTCCTGGCTTGCCGGACTGTTGCCAATCAACTCATCGAATTTCGATCAAACGACACGATAAATTCGACCTCAGGCAAACTTCATTGCATCTGTCCACTCAGCCTCCCACGGCCTGTCCAATAACTGATCCACCCATCTTCCATGTGTCCATGCATGGACGCATGGCAAGTTCCATTCGGCGAAATGTGCCTCCCACACTGGACAGTGCTTAATTCACCGCGCGTCAGAATGGCTCATACATCTGTCATAAGGTCGATCATTCATTTGCATCGAACTGTAAGCGTATCTTTTGCAAGCTCTTTGGTCAGAGATCCGAATCATCTGAATAAGAGAATGCAATTTCTAGTGCTCTCGCGTTTGCCACAACGAGTATGTTGGATCCAAGAGATGCACTACTTTATTCTTGACAATGGCCTTGTATTTTCCGTTTTTACACTCCGCTTAGAATAAAGATAAGGAAATAAAACCCTATCTTCATTATAAGCGGAATTTATCCTCCTCTTCATCATGTTTATTTTATTCCCTATCTTCATTCTTCCAATATATAATGCACGATGATTTCGTATCTTGGAGCTATTTGTACCAATCCGTTCATCGTACTTTCCATAAGTTGTAATGTTTCACCAATACATACAGTATACGGTTTCTCATAATGGGAACAAACAAGTAACATGTCGACATATTATTCAATATCATGAAGACTACTGAGTTCAACATCCTATGAAATGTAAGAGTGTAAAAAATAAAGTGATACATCATACAAAGTAAGTAAGCCTTTATCACTATATTAATGTTGTGATTAGAAACTGAGAGGATTAATCGATTTCAAATTGCTCCTTAATCAAAAAAAATATGCAGATGTTCATGTAAAAGAGTGAGTTTTTATATTTAAGGATCAGATTGTGGTATACAAGGGAATTTTTGTTCTTGTAAAAACACCAAAGTTTAAGTCTTCATTGGTTGATCTACTAGAATAAACCTTGGTTTCATGTTTTTTTCTCTAGCTTAAAGTTACACAATCATTTAATAGATTGCTATTGAAAAGGAAGTCAGACTTAGATCTAACTACTGTCCCTAATTTAAATCTATATATATTGAAATTTTAAATTTCAATTAAAAATGAAGATGAATGTTTTAATTCATCTTATCTCTATATAATATAAATAAAAATTTTGAAACATTTTGTTAATTTTTTTATTCAATTCTGACATATAATAGCAAAAATCAGCTATTAATATTTAGTTCTTTGTCTTTTCTGCTAAAAGAAAATATGAATTTTAATATTTCTTGGGTTGAAAGTTATATAATATATTAAACATGAAGATTTAAATAATAATAATAATATCAGAAATTAAAATATTTATTTACTAAATTTTAAATTTTAGATTAAATATAAATTTTAAAACAATTTAATGCTGATGATGAAAATTTATAAAATCATATATATATCACATAAATTTTCACTGCTAGTTACAACTTATAATATATAAATATTTGTCATTCCTTATACACTTTCTAACCTTGGAAATGCAAAAAAAAGTTGAATTTGATATAACTTGTCAAAATACTAATGAAAAAATAAGAGTATATCATTTAATTATTTAACAGTATTTTATTATTTTTTAATTATTTATTATTTGATTAAAAATTTGATATTTTGAATAAAATGCATGTGAAAATAAAATTTATAAAAATAAGTCTTGTAATCTTCATCAATTCTTTTATATCAATATTTGTATGTGAAATTTAAAAAAAAAATTCTCATTTCAATATCAAAGCAACACATACGATATGTCGAAAAATTCATGATTGAACTCACATTTGATAAATAGCAGATTTTTGAAATTGAAAAAGTTTAGAAAATCATGAATTGATATAATCATCTCAATATGTTTTCACTTTAAATCATTTCAAAGTGGATTTTACTCAAAATGAAGATATAATTGCACTTAATGAATAATAATGAGTGTTTGGTAGATAGAGACGAAGTGTGTTAGTTGACAATAACATGTAAAAACTATGTATTCTTGTTAAATGAAAATTGAATTTGTTAGTTGAGAAAAGCACTCCGTGTGTTTGCTAGCGATATTCATCATGTAATTAATCTACTAAAAGTGAAATGTATGATGGGAATTATATAATTCCAATGTTGGCATAACGCGGTTACATCACGTGGGGTTTCATTGAGCTTTAATGTTTAATCCGATGTTATTGAGGAAACATAAATGGGGTTTAATTTGATTTTAATAAGGTGGATCCTTACGCGAGTGCAAGTATTTATTAGAGACTTCCACATGTCACTTTCGCTTGATGAAATCATTTCAAAGACATTCACGTGTCAATAATTAAACCCATCAAATATCTGTTTTTATTGCATCAAAGCATCAACCCGATTGATTTCACAAAGATTTATTGGTTTTATACACCCCTTGAAAACTCATCAAATAACTAACTTGACAACGCATTTCATTCCCATTATCCATCAAACAATTTGTCATATCATTAATATACTAAAATAAATGAATAACGGAAATGGGATTACGCACCAAAGAAAGCATTAGCCAGCACATCTCAAATTCATCATTCATTAGACAGCTGAATGAACTTGATTTTGACCAACATAAAAATATAATATTAAAATAAAATATCCATAATTTATGACTGTGAATCATTCTCGGTCGTGAGAAATAAGACTATCGCATGATGAAAATTAACAACTTTGTGAATTCAGTCAATACACAACTTATTTTGCTCAGAATATTTGCTCTCACCAACACTAAAAATAGTTGTCTAGTTGCGTAACACAATAAATCGCAAATAATTTTATCAGAGAACTTTTGGTCAATGTGTGCAAGTATTAAAACAAAGATCATTGTTCAAGAAATGCTAGTAATTTCAATGCAATAGCTTCAGCAGAATAAATTAACAACTCTACCGTGAGATTAAATTTGAAACTCGCATGTGCAAACTCGATAAAAATTAAACACAAATTGTGTGAAGAATCCATATTAGACAAACTCAGAAGTATGTTGTTAGTAGTCTATGTGGCACTTGAACACTAGAAAAATGATTTTTACTCACTTGTTTTTGCAAGTTTTGGCATAACAATCATGCGGTGTTTATGAGTTCAACATCATAAACACCGCATGATTGTTATGCGGTATTTATGATCATGTTTATGATTATGACATCCATGTTTTCATATCAATTTTTGCATTCAACAATAGATTATGATACGACGTATCGTGAATAGTACAATTCACTTCAGCTGCTTATATGCAAACAATGCGCAAGTCAAGATATCAAAAGTGATATTTGCAAATTTTATGTTTGGAATTCCTGCAACACTCTTACAGAATACTAGACAACTACTACAATAAACTAGAATAATTAACTTGCCACATTTCAATACTTCCCATCTCCTTGAGTGAATGGTTTTTTGCTAGCAATCTCGACTAACATTGCAACATTTTGGACATACACTTTACAAAAACTCGTATGGACTAATGGTAGATGGTGGGATGATAGTACCTTGGAGCGGTCCTATCAAATAAAAGAAAACAAGGCAAAAAGACTTTTGGATCGCAACAAGACTTTTGCATATTGCTATGATCTCATGAAGTAAATTTTCTTGTTTTTATAAGCTCCAAACCCAGATTATGCAAGTATAAAAGATGAACATAGTCAATTGTCACAACAAAAGCATGATTGTTGTATGTTTTCTAACTCTGTAACATGTTTTCTGACTCTCGTTTGAAACCTATTTGCTTGTTGATTATCTTCTCTCTTATATGCATTTATCATAGTTCACACATGTACTTGATTTGAAAATAAAATTCTGTTTGCAAAAACGCAATGTTATTTTTTTCAAAATCTAAACCTTGTAATTAAAAAAAACATGACAACATTTTTCTATGTGATAAAAAGGTATATGATAAATCTAACTAGAATTAAATTAATTATATGTAATAATATAACAAAAATCTGTTCCAAATTTTTTTTAATTAACGTATTGATAATATATATATTTATTTATATTTATTTATAAAGTGTGAGTGAGATATTTTTAATAAAAATATGACATTTTTTATACTTCATGAATAAAAATATAAATGACTCAATTTTTGATGAAATTTAATTGATGTAGCTATAATTTGTTAGACTATTAAAAGACCATTATTCAAAAAAGTAATAAGCTTTTTGCAAATTTAATGAATATTTAAAATAAAATATAAAGTAGTTTGTAAATGTGATCTTGTTAAAATCAAACATGTTCATTTTTGTGTAAATTAATAAAAAAAATTGTCATAATATAAATCAAAGTTATTAAATTATCTTAGCATTTTAGAAACAGCAACAATTTTTAAAAAATTTAAAATCAATATGTATGAAAAATTACAAATCATAAGTCAATAATGCAAACTTTGCATGATTCTAAACCAAAAAAATTTAATAAATTTGGGTTTTATAATAAACAAGCAAAAATGTAATCAAATTCACATTAATGAGATTCAGATTAAGTAAGAGTTTGAATCAAATAAGCATGTTAAAAACAAAACATCATACCTTGTAACCAATTTTTGTTAAGGTTTAAAGATGTTGTGTTTCTTTGCATTTTAAAATTTTCAATCCAAAATAATTATAAAAAAATAAAAATAAAGAGTAAATCACAAAAAAATGAAATTTTATCTTGTATAGAATAAAAAATATTACATTTGAAATAAAATATATAATTTCATTTGTAGACTATGTTTTCATTGCAATTTTGTGACAAATTTCAAAAATTATTTATTAAAATTACATTATTACATATTTGACCTTAGATACTAAATATTGATTGATTTTTAGAGTTGGCTGCAATATACAGCATTCTCTAATTCAAGATATGACTTTGAGTACAAGGCGTTTGTGAAAATAAATTGAAGATCAGGTTAAACTGAATTATCTGTGCTAATTGTTAAAAAGCTACGTAAATTGATGTTAGATGTCTTGACAAAGTTGGTTTTGATGAGATTTAAGTATATTCAACTGTTAGAATTTTTGTTCTATTGGGTTCACAATTCGTAATTAAACATGTGAAAAAAATCTACTCTTTATCTACAACATGATCATATGAACAACTATGTGTTAACACTGACCACAGAAAAAGTTTAATATTAGTGCTAGATTTAGCAAGATAAAAAGAAAGTTCAAATAATTATAAACTCCCTGGGGAAATTTAATTGCTTCTAGCAAGATAATAGTTACATACATATGTACTATGTCCATTCTGTCTCTAAAACTGTGCTATCAACCACATGAACAATGTGAATATGAGTTCTTACGTATGTTATGCTGACAAGTTGATCTGATAACATATTTCTTGAACTTAGGACTCTACAAGGCAGTCTGATGAAACTCCATCAATTGCAAAATTATATCGCGGGGATTATAAATATATTGAATAAGAAAGTCTGTAATATCCGAAATATACGAAGGAGGATCGTTTGAAAGTATGCAGGCAATTGTACGACAAACTAGCACATGTTCAAAACTTATGTGCATAGAGAATGATTCCAAATACGTCCCGAAGGGTGAAAGAGTGTGCAAATTGAATGCGACGGGCCTCGGAAGGGATGCCAGTCGTGGCAGCCCTTATTTTTAATTGAAGGCGGTGGGAATTATGCCGAATCGGGAGAATCGAGTGGTGGACGTCGGAGAGAAGAGAATTTCGACACGATCGATGGAGCGATCAAGAAAGTGCTGGGGTTGGGAGTGCTGAGCTCTCACTTGGGGCCGATCCTTCCGTTCGACCATGAACTGAATGTCGTACCGTGCGATCGGAGGATAAGAGCACAGACTCAGAGGATTGTGAATTTGGAAGCAGCCATGGACCTGTTACCAGGTACGATCCTGCAGAATGTGTTGGCGAAAGCGGACGCCAAGGATTGCGCCCGAGCCGCCTGCATAGATCGCAGATGGCGCCAGAGTGCCGATGACGACTCCGTTTGGAAAGATTACTGCTGCCGAGACTTTGCGCTATCGTCGCGCACTGATCCACACGGGAACCCGTGTCCTTCTTATAAGGTCAGGAAATGTATGTGAAATCCCCTGATCACCTTCTTTCCCCATCAATAACAGCATCCAATTTTACATTAATTTGCGTATTAATGTGAGTCATGTAAGATGCAGTGCTCTATCGGTTTCAGGCTTTTGTCTGCTAAATACATCTCCATTTAAGGTGTCATTTTGTGATGGCATTATTCCTGCCACGACGTGTTACACATTTCCTATCAACGTGTTGAGTAACGAGATAGTGCTATTCTTTTTCCAACATTCTTATTTGACTTGCAACCAACTGTATACTTATGAGCCATTCTTTACGAGTCTCGCTTTGCTTTACCGAAGTAGACACATCCCTGTGGAGGATTTTCTTACGTTAAATTGTTGGTGATAGTCAACAAAACTTAAGTTTTGTGCCTTAAAATCGAGAACTTGCTTGTTTACTTCTTATACGTTTTTGTGGCTCCAGGTTCGAGTCAAAATCCCTCTCCAAGCTCAATTGTTGTGTTGAGAAGCTTACTTTTGAGTGTCTCTTTGAGCCACAGGAAACGTATACGTCTTGGCAGAAGAGTTTTGGGAGGTTTCCACCGGCCCTGGTGGTAAGAGCCAAGCAGTGCTGGGATACTATCAAGGATTGGCTCAATACTAATTTCACAGACGTGCTGGCTTCGCTCAATCGTGGAGTTAGTTGGGACGAAATTGAAGCAGCAGAACAAGAGCTGGGTTTCGCTCTTCCTGACTGTGTGCGAGTGCTTTACCAAATCTGTAATGGGCAGAACCTTGAAGAAGATAAAAAACTTAGAGCAAAGAATGATTATCTTGGACTATTTGGTGGTTACCGAGTCTATGACCATTATGTGAATGTGCGCTTGCTACCGCTCAGAAAAATAGTCGCTTGGACCCCCACCGTTCGCCGTCGCTTGAAGAGTCATGAATTCAACCGCATAGTGATTGCAACATCTTTCAATTTCAGGAAGTGGTTTTTCCTGGATTGTGATGATGGTTTGGTATATGTCGGAACCCGGAACCAGTGGAGCAGGTGGAAGGTGGAGGTGGAAGCAGAGATGTTACCTTGTGTACCAGTGCAGGAACGTGGTGCTCAAATGAAAGATGGAATGCTCCGGTGGTTAGAAAACTATGGACGTTGTTTGCAAAGTGGCATGTATGGCATAAGAGACCTTGGATCTCCCACCATCAGTTTGTTTCCTCTCAAAGAGCCTCTTTGTAAGGAAGCAATAACTCACGGTTTACAGGTGTTTACCCACTCATATCATTGCTTGCTATCTATACCCTTTGCACTGCATTTTCGTCAATGTAGCTTGGTGTGATCCTCACAGAAGTAGATAATTTCTTATCTCACCTATTAACTCTATTTGTTCTGCCATACATGCCTAATAAGGTTGTACTTTGATCCAAAAGAGATATAGATAGAATAACTGCACTCCTTTAATTTTAATTCAATTTGTTAATCGGAATCATGCCACTTATGTTTGTCCAGGTAAAATGTTCTGCTGTGTTTGTACCAGAGATGTCAGGCATTGAGGTTGAAGGGTATGAAGGAGACGACAATTACATGTTTGCCTATTCTGTCCGAATGCGTCTCTTACAAGAGAACAATACATATTGCAACAAGGTGATGGAATCAGCTCAACTCGCGGGGCGACACTGGGTGATACGAGTCAATGATGAAATCATAGATGAAGTACGAGGGGAGGCTGTTATTGGCGAGGTAATCGATATCTTTGGTTATTGTTTGGCATGAACGTGATTACACGTGATATTTATCCATATGAAAACCACGATATTGTGGTCTAATCGGCTGTGCAGCATACTACTTTATCCCTCTGAACTTCAAGTTCTTTCATTTATATTGGTGGAGCCATGCTTGGTGAAAAGTAGTTAGAGCAATTTTCTGACCGGTTACATTATCTTCGCTGTCCTTGGGTAGTATCCCTGGCTGCAAGCTGGTGGAGAAGAATATGTGTACGAAAGTCGGAGCGCCCAGCATGGCAAGACTGGATCAATGGAAGGCGATTTCACATTTGTACCTGGCAGGTCAGTGCATTTTACTTCGGCCCTATTCGTGTATGTTGTGGATTGAATATAAATATATTGACTTAGTGGCTTCCTGTAGCTTGCAAGTGTCAGTCAAGAAGTGATGACGAATGTCCTTCTTGATCAAATCATGCTTAGTGGAGTATGATTTGCAACTCTTGAGAGTTGAATCTGAATCACCTTTGCTCTTAAAGTCCACCTGAGCATGTTATGGGAAAGTTATGCACGTAGAACACGGCAATGTGGATTGTTCGGTCGACGGTCAACACGTCATTTTGTCACTTCTTATATACATAAATTAAGGTACATTTGTAATGTGCTTGAGATTTTCAATCCGACCTCATTTGTCTCGTAGGGATAGTTCATGAGACTTACGGGTGGTTATATTACGTTTGTTATAAACACGGTTGTTTCTACCCTGCTGTATCCAGGTATTTTTTTTTCTCAACCTCTGATGCAAATGGTTATATATGGTTTGCTTAGAGGTTGTTGCAGAAACTATGCAATATAACCGACAGCAGCAATCCAGCTCATCTGTCTTCTAGAGTTTCATTATTTAGAACATAGGCAATGTCTCCTTTCATAAGAATCTTATTCACCGAGAGGAGGTTTGCTATTGCTGGAGAAGAAAGAACATTCTCATTATGTAGCAGGATGAAGGTTTAGCTTTGCTATATGCATCATTCAGCGAGCTGTTTACCTCGAGGCGTTTGCCAACCTCCCTTGATGGTCAAAAGTTTTAGTATTATCGCGCTTGAAGGAACGTTATCCTTTGTCCCTCCGTACAACCACGGATTCTCCTTGCACTCGTTTGAAGTTACTGCCATGGTTTGCCACAACGGGTATAGCAATTGGTGCGAACTACAGCTATTGCATTTCGTTATCCCCTCACTAGCGGATGTGCGACATCCTTTTCCATTGAAGGACCGGTGTAGATTGACAACGGAGTGTGTGGTGATAACGATTGGTGTACGATTTCTGCAAAAAATATACAGAAGCAGATATCTTTCACTGCATCGTAGGCTTGTCAATTCAGGCTGCCTGTTTTGGTTTGCTGCTAAACCAAGTTGTGCCGGTCATTGCCATTATGGATATCGACATTTAAGGTTCATTATTTAACGTTTAAAATCTGAATGAACTCAAGATTGCACTTATTCTAGCTGCAAGTGATACACTTCCTAATGGGATGTACTATTTCCTAAATACTAATATACCCCTAGCTGATTGGTTGTATGACGTGGGACTGCAGACTTAGCAACCCAGAGGGTGGACATTTTGCTGCGTATATACCACGATTCTCTCTGCAGGTACCTGATTATATCTACTGAAATGATCGAAAGCTCTATGAAAGTTGTGTAGACTGCTGAGGTGAGTACGTTTTACAAACTCAAACGCTTTTACGAAGTACATTGACCTCTCAGTTAGAGAGGTCAATGTACTTGCTACAAGAGAAAGCATTTGCTTTTGGATAGAGCCTCAAGAATATGAGATTCTGTCGTTACAGTCCGTGGTTTGCACGGGAAGGTACACGTGCTGAGTAAGAGCAGGACACTTAGACCTTACCGAGTGATTTAGAGCTTCACGAAAGTCTTTGTTCCTCGTGCGTTCTAGTAGGTGATGGATGCTCAAACACAGGAACATTCACTTTGTGAAATGTTCGTGCTTAATGTTTTAATATGTATATCCTGCACTAGGACATCTTCTTAGCGGTCATTTCGAATATGTCCTAGAAACTTTTGGTCCATTTTGACTCGCGAAGTCCTCCATGTACATGATGGTGTTTGCAATGCACTTCTTAAACATCTTCCGCCAAGAACATTAGGAGCTTGTAGACACGAATGGGATGTTTCGGTCTCGAAGACAAGGTGGTTCCAGTCTCGGTCTCTTGAACATCCGTGTGAATTTTTATCTGTCGATGTTGGGGTTGATCATGAACATCTTCTTTACCCATCTTCATTTCTTTGACGTCTTTCGTACAAATTATCCATCTGGCTTGGCACGTCTGAATGGATCGTCTTTTTGTTTATACGTCTCTCCAACCTGCGCATCTCATCTAACTTACAGTGATGTCCACCTTTACGAGTTACATCTGGGAAAGGCAGACGAGAGTGAAGCTTGAACGCAGATATATTGCCTTTAGTGAACACGACACCTATCAAGCCTAGGAGCACCCATCAAGCGTCTGATGACACGTGGTCCTCGATCTGAGTTCTTGTATCACCGGTACGAAATCATGGTTATATAACTTACCTCGCACAAAGTGAAGCGAGTGTTTCTTCAGAGAAAACCACGAACCGTAAGAAGGGCGAATGAGTGGCATTTGCAAATCACGTGCGCGCGATGGAGAAGTCTTGTCAATAAAAAAGCTACTAAAACCGAAACAACGAAGTTCGTCACTAGCTACATGGGGTGATCAGGTTAGGAAAGTATTCAGGGTCCTTTATATGTATATTTGAGATGTACTTCAACGTGGTTTGCAACACTGTGCCTCGTGATGAATGCGAGTCGTAGTACTGAACTGTTTGGCGAGGTGGCGGTGTCTGGATTTCACGCCTTGATGGGCGATACCAATGAGTGCAGCCTAAGCCCTTGTGAAGCAAGTCTGGTGAGTTCAAAAGGACTCACCAGTGAACGTGAAACGTCGACGACCACCTGGAGAAAGATGTATATGTTAGGACCTTCGACAAAGATGTGTTCTAATGAGAAGCAAAAGAGGATCAATAAGAAGACGCAGCGAATTTATCTGAATGAGCTGAGTGCTGAAACCCCCCATTTAGCTCGGTTAGCCGGTGGTGATGGTGGGCGGAGCTACTTCCTTAAACCCAAACCCAAACCCAAGGCTGTGCCTCCTCCACAACCTTTATGAGGATGGAGGAGGCCACAACATCAAGTCTCTCCTTGAGAACCTCGTCGCCCTTCGTGCAAAGTATTATCGATGGAAGTCAACAGAGCAGGATGCTAACGAAGTAGGTGCAAGAAATTAAAGAGAGTGGAAACCCCTCAAGCCGGAAACCCGCAGGAGAGTGTGGACCGAGGTAAGCCATGTGATTGAATGCCGACATGGGCCTGACCAACCGAGCTCTTCCGGTGCACGCAGTGAAGAGGACAGTGGCTGGAGGAAGTTGGCCGAGGTTGAGGGTTGAGGTGAAAAGGCGATCGCAAAACCCCTGAACAGCCTCTCATCGATCACTTATCGAGCCATCATTCGGCGGGCGGATATCGGATGTTGGGCTCGATGGATTGCTGCCGTCCGTCACCTCGGTCTGCTGCTCGCGCTTGAATCTGGCCAAAGCTCTGTGTCGGCGCTCCCCTTGCCATGGGAGTGGATCTGCAGGTCTCGCCGGGGTGGAAATCTGCTCAGTGCCGCACATGAGGCCAGGAGAATGCTTTCAGGTGGTTGTTGATGGTGTGTATTTGGGTGTGGATTGTGTAGATCGGGCGGGGCGGGATTGTCCAGTGTTGGATTGTGGATCTCGTGCATTTGCCTGCTCGGAAATGTGTTTTTCTTGCTTGAAGGCGTGGGTCCCTTGCAGCAGGCGGTTGCCGGCGGTAACTCGATGGATGATGTGGTTGCAGCAGCAGCAGTGAGCAGCCGATGCACCTCCTCCTTCCACGCAAGGCCAGGTTCAGCTCAAACTTGAGGCACTGCCATGTTTTCGTCTTCCATGAACTCCGAGTTCTCGTTCTTTGCGGTGTGAGTCTTCAGCCATGGACCACCAGGAGTGTTACTCACGGAGGTTATTGTGCGTACCTCAAGTCTGGGTGCGCCACACCGAAGGAATTCAGCCGATTCGCCATCACTGACTCGTACCAGCTCGTGCTAAACCTTCGTCAGGTGTCAGAAATGTTATCGAAGGCATCTGCCATTTCTCCCGGCCAGTCGCATCATGTGAAGTTTGGCGGAGTGTCTGGTGTCGTCGGCTGCCGCCCTAGTTGGGGAGGCCTGGTGCGCTCTTCGGCAGGCACGGCCTCGGGTCTGGTCCATCCCAGCGCTGTGGAGGGATTCAGTGTTGTAGGCAGGCAGTTCTGCAGCGTTAGCAGCAATGAGGAAGGCGAATCTGAGGAAGACAGAGATCGGCGTGAGCGAAGACTCTGGTACAAAGGTTTGCGAAAGAGTATTTACGAGAGCCTGCAGAAGGAGAGGATCACCGTGGAGTTATTTCCGGAGCTAAGTTTTGCGCTGGATGGAAATTACTATCCGAAGTTGGTTCCATTAATTGCTCAAAAGATAAACACCATATTGCAGAAGGACGAGGACGACGAGGAGATTGCGGAGCTTCTACAGCTTTTGGGCATAACGCTGAAGCCGCATCTGGTTGGGGAAGTTTTGAAAGCGCAGGAGGACTGGGAGAGGGCTTTGCGATTTTTCGAATGGGCCAAGTTGCAACCCGGCTTCGAACACACTGCCCACACGTACAACGTGTTGTTGTGCAACATAGCCAGCGCGAAGAATGAGAAGGCCGAGAATATGGTGCTCCCTTTACGGCATTTGCAGGAGATGATTAGCAAGGGCATGACTCCCACGATTCTTGCGCTGAACATTCTGATTGATCGACTCTGCAAAGCCAAGAAAGTCGGCGCTGCCCTGAAGGTCATGAGGGATCTGGAAGGAAACGGCGTCGCCTTCGACCTAGTAACGTACAATTCTGTCATCAATGGGCTTGGCAAGGCAGGAAAATTCACGGAGATTTTTGAGTTGCTTGAGGAAATGGAGCAAAAGGGTGTTAAGCCTGATCTTGTCACGTACAACTCAATCATTCATAGTCTTGGAAACTCGAACCGGTGGCCAGAGGCGTGCAAGATATTCGACGAGCTTACGCACAAGGGATTAACTCCCGATGTTGTGACGTATAATTCTCTCATTTTTGGGCTGTACAAAGGTGGCCAAGCCGACGAAGCCTTCAAGGTTTTCGGACTGATGGCGCTGAGAGGATGTCCGCCGGATGTGGTCACCTACAACTCCTTGATTGATGGGCTTGCTAAGGCCAGCCGTTTGGATGATGCCTTGAAGATATTTGATTTCATGAAGCAAAAGAACTGCAATCCGGACGTCATCACTTATAACACATTGATCTGTGAGCTCATCTCTAGAAACAAGTTTGCAGAGATATCTGGACTTCTAGCCGAAATGAAAGACAGGGGTTGTACTCCTGACAAAGTGACACGCAACCTACTTGTAGAGATCGGCCTGGGACACAAATTGGATCATCTCTGGGGAGTGGAGGCTGCCACCGAAGCACCTGCAGACAACGAGGACGGTCCTCGTAATACTAGCTTCGGTTGAGAATCGGTAGACAGAAGCTGTGATGCAGGTACGTCTATCTTGCCCGATCTGATTCTGACTTAATAATTATAAATATTCGTATGCTGGTCGTTTAAGTGCGCAGAGGCTTTCCTTTCCAATGAAGCTCTTCTGCGCCAGGTTTCGAAAAGTCTCGAAATTTTGATCCTGTCTAATTTCGAGAGCGTGCTTGTCCATTACAGAAAGGCAGTAATCCAGAATAGGTTCGATACCAGAAGTCAACAGCAGATGATATGCAACTCCTGATTCTGCGCAAGGGCATTACATCCATCCAATCGGCTTTCTGACTGAGGAGAGCAGTCAAGGTATGTGATTTGCATCTTGAAGTGCATAACCTTATGAAGCTCGTGCCTCGAGTGTTAGAATATTTTGTTTCAGTCTGCAACTCACTGAAGGAAGTCTTACAGCTGAATTCCACCCATTGCCTTCTCTGTAAACAACGTCCTGTTGGGCTTTTGTGTGGATGTTTGCAATTGGTGAGATCATTAGCTTGTTGTTAGCACAGGCATTTCACGGTATTTCCTTGTATACTTTTATTTGATTCCCCTAACATATTTTGGCATACCATATGAGTCATTTTTAGCACTTCTTATAACTCTATCAATTGGTTACTATTGCAGATCAATCTATCGACGTAGATCAGCGTTCTTTCGGAGTTCTATTTCAGCTTAACAATTCTAGTAATCTAATTTAGACTCTGAGATTCAGTAGATTTATCTACTCTTCTCCCAGCCTCTCGTCGATAGGCTACAACTCAGATTTTTCAGCTGGATGTAACACGAGGCCGCGATTGTGTATCTTTAATACAATGTTAGGTCAAAGTCTGAAAGAAACAGCACCAACGACATGGGTTGGTGAGTTACGAAGTACTAAATTGACAACGATTTTCGTTGCTGTCGAGACCCATTTCGACCCTTCTAAGAAAATTGACGAGGTGAGTGTGGTTGGAGAACTGGTACTACACGCAACCGTTCTGGCTTTCTCGCCTTCATACAGATGTGCCAGTTCTGGTTTTCGAATGCCTTCTCCTCTTCCGTGTGTGCCAAATCTGTTTCCCTCTCGTCTATGTATCAATCAGTTTGAACATTCTGTTTTCTTCCAAATTATCTACTCACCGCCCATATACCTGAAGAGGGGAAACGTCTGTGACGAGCGGATTCAATTTCACTTCAGAGGACCTGTAAACAAACTCGACCGGGTTCTTCCTGTTAAGAAACCGTCGACCTTATTCACAACTCATTTCCGGGCGTTTATCCCATCGGGCTTTAGAATGCAGTTTGGAAAAGAGCCAAGGTCGAGTTACTAGACCCAGGACCCAAATACCGTAGCTGTCTGAATCACAACCTTGACTTCTCTGCTCGCTTGAAACCCCAGGCCCTGCGCTGTTGTAGGCGAAATATGTTTGGTATATCGCCGTTCACACCAGCCTTACTTTCGCATGTCCTAGTTGGATTATGATGGTCAAAGACCTGAGGCATACCAATGGGGTGCAAAATTGAAGTCCCACTTAGGGCTGCACGAATTGTTAGCGAACGGTTGCTTTCTTACTGAATCTGTATCCTTGTCTGCGCTGGAAACGCCTGCTGCGAAAACCTGCAATGCTGCTCAATTTCTGTATTACGGTGAAACTTTTCTTGAGGAGAAGTCTTGTTGGGTTGAATGTCAGTCGTAAAAGATTCTGTATGTTCGCCACTTCGAGATTTGGATTCATACTGACCTTTTGTGCTTCTGACGTTCCTGCATCTCCGTACTACTCTGATTGTAGCAGCACCTGGAACGATGTAGTTTTGTCTTGGACATGATACAGTTTGGACAAGAATGGAAACTTAGGATGTTCAACCTGCTAGTTTTCAAGATTGCATTGATGCGTACGTACGCTGGAAGGAACGACTCAACCCTCGAAACCTAGGAGAGACGTTCCATGTTGTATTGTCCTGTGCAGAAATTTCAATTTTATCCTTGCAGCGCATTACCCTGGAATGAGAAATACAACCTCACATTAACACACATCGATCGTCTCAAGTGTATCAACTTATTATTTATTTTTCCTCGATATGTCAACAGGAACATGTCATTTATAATGTAAAAGAGAGGTCATAGGAAAGGGAACTCCACTTTTGATTCCCACCACAAATACAGTCACGAGGTTTTAACTTCTGAAAGTATTATACAAAAGATTAAATTCGAACTTTACAATCGGGACTCTGAAGTTTACATCTGTTCTGTCCACCATAGACACTCCCAAGGTTGAAGAGCATTGCTTTCCAGTTTGAACTCTTCGTGATGAGTGCAAGTTGGTTCATAGGCTCAAGCCTGTACACCGAATAGCGGTTTCATATGTGGTGACATCCTACTCCGTGATGAAATCCAGACTATGCGGATGTCGTGCTTATCAATTGAGTTGCGAGAAATCGATCCCGTTAGATATATCTCTTCAAGTGGTCTTGGGAGTCACGCGTTTGATGTCTTCGTGGCATACGGTGCCGATTCTACATTTCTAAACTTGGACTTGAGCGACTTTGTTCCTTCAAGATTGTCTCTGGCACAAGGAAAATTATTTACTGGAGCATTGAGAAGATACAATACATCAAATCCCTTTGAAGTGGAATAACTTATACTACGAGTCTCTGTATACTCGATACTTCCACCTTTGCAGACTTGTTACCATGGACTCAAACCAGACTCGATCAAAGTAAGTGTCTTGTGAGTACATTCGATTAGACTACCTCTATCTAGTAGTTTGTCACGAGGACGGATGGGGTTCCCTAATGACTCTCGTCTCTTGATGGTTTAGTCGTTTAACATCTTGTTCGATCGGACCTCCCACTCATATACACACTGCAATGACACCGTGTTCATTCTTCGATTTTCGGTAGCGTGTTGATATCTCCATGATGCTTCTGAAGATGTCTTGCATGGATTCTTTGGTTTGCGCCTTAACACAGTAGAGAGAATAGTAAAGTCAAGGATATCCGCTTACTATCATTGAATCGCCGGACCTTTAATGATGTGCAACCCTCTGAGGACGAAACATCATTTCTGTCTTCGACTTCACATCGGTCTCAGAGTTGGGCCATTCTTCTGCAGATGTCGCCCGGATCTGCCACGAGCTGGCATGGGGGCAGCGAATCAGATTTATTAGTCTTGTCACATGTAGACATCTGAATGAAGAAGTCCATCTGATCGAGAGAGCTAAGTCTTCGCTTTTTTGATGATATCGAGGTCCCCACAATCGAATCATACCTTCCAAGAATGTATCACATGCATGGAGGAGACATTCTGCAGAAGCTGGAGTCCAAGAAATTCGATGATGTAGAGGATGCCGAATCATTTTCTCACTGTCATACAACATATCCGAGCACAGTACTATAAGACATTCGTCGACCATCGCCCGCTTTGTGCCCGTGATGTTAGACTCGGCTGGTCTCGAAGGGTTCCATCGGAGCACCTGTTTGTGACATCGCAGAGGCGAGCAGAGCTGCTCTCCGCCACGTCAGACAAGTTGTTCAGAACTCTTGCACCGTGCTGACGATGCCCGGCAGGAATGTGCCAAGTGTCGCCAGAATCCTTGCCCAATCGGGCGAACACGGTCTCCGGACAAGCGCTGCGTACAGTGAAGAAGAGAACGCCTTCGTCGCGTCCAGTCAGCTGGTCTTCCTCGCTGTCAAGACACGTGGAATCTGGGCTCACCGATGGCCGAATCTCCTCGTCGATGGCAGTCGGAAGGTAGGGAGGGGCACGTAGCCGGCTAACTTCGGGCTAGCCGGCTAGCCGATACAAACGGCTAGCCGGCTGGGCCTCAAATTTAGCCGGCAAGCCGTCGGCTAATCGGCTATCGGACGAAAATGCAATCAACCGAAAGATTCGGGCCACATAAATGTTTACTGGATAATTTCGGCCGAATCTAAGAAAAGAATAGACCGAAAACGTAAATTCAGTCCAAGTTTACGGTTTGTTTTCGGCCTCGGATTGAGGTGGCAATATTTATCGGCGAGCCGGCTAACAAAAAATATTAGCCGGCTAGCCATTAGCCGAGCCGTGCCCATCCGTATCGGAAGGTGTCCCCCGTCGAGGCAGAGAGACGGAGAGCGGAGAGAACCGGGGAAGGAAGGAAGGACGGACGGACGGAAGGACTGTGACGGAGCGCCCGCCGCCGGATGCGCGTTCTGACAGTGCTGCGTCAGACGGGGGCAGGGGCTGTTAAAAAGCCGGGCGCGGACGCAGGTGTCAGAGCCTCATTGGATCGCCTCGTCCCCCGCCCTGCATTCGAACGCCGATGCGCAGAGGCGTGCTGTGGAGCGAGCTCGCGGATTCCGGTTCGGCGTCGCAAGAATGTGGAGGATTTCGACGCTTCGACGTTTGGCCAAGCAGACGATTGCAGCGCATGTCGAGGGTTTCACCGCTCTCTCATGGAATCCCCGGCGGCTCGCGCATACGGGCCTTTACATTCATCACACCAATCCTGGCTCGGGCCGGGAGTCCATAGCGGCTTCGCTGGGCCTTCTGCATGCTCTCGACCGCCTTCAACCGGGTATGGGCTACTTTCGCCCGATCGACAAGACCACAATTGGTGGTCAGAGGGCTGCGGTGATGAAACGGATATTCGGCTTCCAAGACGAAGAGGAGTGCATGATCGGTGTGACTCAGAATCGAGCATTTGAGCTCATCACTATGGATAAAACTGATGATTTGATGGAGGAAATTTACAAGGGTGTGCAAGCCCGTCCATCCACTCCACGTGATGATTTTGTGCTTTCCATTTGTCAAGAGTGTTCTGTTCCAGCAACTTGCAGATAATTATTTTTTGGGAGTACTTTGTCGCCGTCGAACTGATCAATTATGAAATCGGCGTTTGTGGCAAGCTCCCGAACGCTATCTGCCAAAGTTTGACATTTGTTCTTCGCATGTTTTGCAACCAGCGTTTGAGGAGATCAGAAAAAGGCACGACTTCCTCGTGGTGGAAGGCACAAGCTTGAAAGGTTGGGGAGGCGACGTTGTAAACCTTAATGCCACAATGGCCTCGATGCTTGGAACATCAGCGATGTTTTTCACAAATGCACGAGGAGCCATGCAGGGTGAAATCAACCGATCCAAAGAGGAGTGGGAGCGCGAAATACTGGAGTCTGCAAAAGTCAGCAACATCGCATTCAAGCGTCAAAAAGTGGATGTTTTGGGTGCCATTGTTCACGGAATGCCCGCTAAATTCGTCGACGTCGACGCTCTGAAAAAACAATTCGAAGAGATCCATATCGCATTTGCTGGGGCTATACCTGAAGACCCTCTTTTCCATTCTCTGCAGGTCTTTTTCTGGTCCTTATTCAATTATCATTCCTCTACATGTTCAGGAAAAGAGTAAGATCATCTACACCTGATGTTGAGGCATCAGGCATCTAAGAGCACATCCTGGAACTTGCTTGAAAGTGGAAAGAAGACAACAATCAAATATTGAACTTCCATCTAAATTGGACCTGATCTCATGGTGTGTTCTCTCGAGATTTCGCAGGTTCAAGACGTGGCGAGAACTTTGGATGCTGAACTTCTATTTGGAGTGCAGGATCTGGATACCTCCATGTCAACGGAGGTTACAAATTTTATAGTAGCTACACTGCAGCTTTCGGACCTACTGAAGTATCTCCCTAATCACTGTGATCCGAGTAAGGGGTCTGTCGTTATCGCCGACTCAAGTAGAAGCGATATTTTGCTGAGCTTGTTACATTTACATGAATCCAAGTCATTTTCCAGCGTTGCTGCTCTAGTTTTGACCGGAGGACAGCGCCCAGATGAACACATTGAGCTCCTCGTGAAGGTATTTGTTCTTTCCTCGTTACTCCTTTTTCGCCACGTTGGATTAGCCAATATCCGCGTTAATGAACTTCAATGCTTGCCTTTGGAGGCGTGGCGAATGTGTATTGTCGAACATCTGTGCAATAAATTTTAGAATGGAAATGAACATGTCAAAGTCAGTGAACAAATTAATTTTTCCCGATTCCGTGTGCACTTGGGTCACTTACCCCACTGCAGGTAAGGGTGCTGTACTTGCTCGTTCAAAGCTTGTTGAGAAGATTGAATGACATGTGGAAAAGACTGTTGGGTCCATGTGCTGGAGTACTCTTTGAATATGCCATTCTAAATCCTGGTCATGGCTCTACTGGTGTCAGGACCAAGCTGCCAAAGGTTCACTGCCTGTGCTCTTGAGTCCACTGCCATCTTTTGAGACGTGTGCACTTCTATCCAAGGCGGAGGCCAAAATCGGACCAGAATCCTATCGAAAGATTGAACGAGCGCAGGTATTTTTATCGCAAGTGCAGGTGAAATATTCGGGCGAGTATCTTTTTCTGTAGACTAAAAGGCATTCTTCCATGACACTAACTGGAAATTGAGTAACTTATAACTATTCATGAAGTTATCTTCAAACTTTTATACGAAACTGATGGACTATTTAATAGCGTTCTGAAGAGTAGATATTGGATAGATTTAAAGCTGATGGCGATGTTGTTGGGCAATCCAGTTAAATTTCGAGGAGAACGTCAATATGGAAATCATAACCAAGGCCTTATTGGAGGTATTATTCTGAACTAGCAGGATTATATTGTTCGTTACACTTGATTATAGGCCTTTCCTGTCACATATCTTCTAAATTGCCTGAACGCTGCAAGATTTTTGAAAGCTTACTGACCCCGTATACTGATTGAACAGGAGCAACCAATTCGCATGAATCCTAAGCTTTTTATACATAACCTCTTCGCTCGGGCAAAAGTGAATAAGCAGCACATCGTTTTGCCTGAGGTTTGTGAAAGCCATGCCCTTGTTGCTTGCATTTGAAAGTTTGTGTTCATAAGTATTGGTAGGAGCTTTTAAAATTTTGTATCCTTTTCGGTGAAGCTCGAACGTCCAGATGAGAATCTAGCATACAGATCTTCAATGCGGAATCAGTTCAGACTGGTCCAGCGTATCGTTGGAGTTGTTCTTTTTTGGGTATGAATATATCATGCGAGACTGGTGCAAAGAATTGGCTCTGTTTGGTCTTCTCGAGGTCACGTTGTCACAAAGTTTGGTAGAAAACCTCAAACCATACCTCTCGGATTCGGCCAAGAAAGGTGCACAACCGTTTATTTGCACGCAGGGGGAAGAACCAAGAACTGTGCAAGCTGCCGGAGTCATTTTGAGGCGGGATATCTGTGAGATCACTTTACTGGGTAACAAACAAACGATCCAGACGATAGCGAAGCAGTTCAGGGTCGACATCAGTCAAGCACGTATTGTTGACCCGACAACAGCTCCTAGAACAGAAGCATACAGAGATTTCTTCTATGAAACAAGAAAACACAAGGTTTGGCTGTGCATTACATACTTGAATGAAATTTTGTTTTAGCATGTTTTGCCATCTGGCAGTCGAGTTCCATAGCCGACAAGCGAATGACAGCCATTTGAGAAACAGTTCGCGGAAGTTTGCAAGAAGTTTTTGGGACTCAAGCACTATTATTGTTCATCGTTTCAACAGCGATTGACTGACTCGCGGTTGCAGGGAATTACTAAAGAACAAGCCTACGATACTCTCATCACAGACTGCAACTACTATGGGACCTGTATGGTTGCACTTGGTGATGCGGATGGGATGGTTTCTGGCGCGCTAAATACTACCGCTAATACAGTTCGCCCTGCTTTACAAATCATCAAGGTCAGTGGTGGAAACATAAAATAGTAGTTGCTCCATCGCCGAACCCTAAAAAAAAGTTTAAAGAGCCATTAAGACAGTAATGTGCATGAGAATGCATGTTCTACGAATAAAAATGGTTGAGGCTGAAAGGGGCTGAGCTTAAGGAGGAAAAGACTATTTTACTAATCTTCATCTCTTGTGAATTGTGAGATGCTGTCGTAGAACTGTGTGGAAGTAGTAGGGACTTAAAGATTTTTTACGCGTGCAGACTTCCCCAAGCCTTCCCCTCGTGTCGAGTGTACTCTTCATGTGTCTACTGGACAAGATATTGGTGTATGGAGATTGTGCAATCAACTCCAATCCCACCAGCGAGGAGCTTGCTGCAATTGCTATACAGTCAGCCGACACTGCAACTTCATTTGGAATTGAGCCAAGAGTCGCGATGCTTTCTTACGCCACTGGAAACTCCAACACTGGTACCTTTCTGCTGATTAGATGAACATATGGTTATTCCCTTCATTCTGTAGGTTGGCTTCAAAGTTTTATCTAGAATCGAATATGAATTTCCTCTGTCGCACCTCGTGCTGCAGTTGTACTCGCTTCTTAGCTTGAGATCTCCATCATTCATAAAGTTTTTCTGAAATTTCAGCTGATTTACGTCATTCAACAGGTCCACTAATCCAGAAGGTCATAGATGCCACTGCTATTGCCAAGAAGAAACGACCTGATTTACTGATAGAGGGTCCACTGCAGGTGAGAAGAGTTAACGTTACGTGACATTACGAGTCTAGGTAGCTTTGGCAATTATGTTTCACGTTTCTCATTTTGTTTACAGCATGATTTGCACCCAGCTTTCTGCAACTGTGCACTGTAATACCCACTCTCGTGATGTTTTGGCAGAAGGCAGTAGGAAACTCTAATCCTTCAATTCGCGCACATTTAAGTTATACCTCGTGGATGAGGATCCATTATGTTTAGTGTTCTGAAATTGACATTGCCTATCAATGCTAGACGTTACCGACAAATCGGTCCAAATAGACATCTGGTGACATTTGGTAACCCGGGATTAAGCTCCTCCCTTTCGTCAATAGGATCTGCTTATGCCTAAAGGGACGCTTACACTTTCTTTGCCAGTATGATGCAGCTGTGAACATCGAGACTGCACGAACAAAGTTGAAGGGTAAAGACAATCCAGTTGCTGGAAAGGTGAGTAACTCTGTCTTGGTTCAAATGACATTTTATGCCTGCTGGGTTTCCCCGGTCCTCTCTTCAGTCGCATCTTGGATCTTATTCATCGTTTTAAAAGAAGGGTATGCATGCAGCTGATGCTTGCTCATGTACAAAGGTCGAACTTTGGGATTAGTCTGCCTGGTGGGGATGAATGAAAGTTCTGTAATTGTTTGCCATGAATATTGGTTTTACCAGCTGCAAGATTTTAACCTATCTTTATTGCTTGTGTAATCGCAGGCCACTGTTCTCATTTTTCCAGATCTAAATACGGGCAATAACACCTATAAAGCTGTCCAGCAGGTAAATAAATTAACTTGTGTTTTGCTCTTGGCACGCAGCATACCTTCGTATCTGCCTGCTGCTCTTCTTCTCAGTACGAAGGCTCGCAAACCTTGAAGATGCCATCGGGATCCTGTATGAGATTGAACTGCATGTTTTTTTCTTGACCTGGATCATCAAGAATGACATAATCTCTACATAATAGCATTTCGGTTGGACACTAATTCACGGAAACATTGTCGGTTGCAGTCGACGGGTGCCGTGGCTGTCGGACCTTTATTACAAGGGTTGCGGAAACCAGTGAATGATCTTAGCAGAGGGTGCACCGTGACAGATATTGTTACAACAATTGCCATGACAGCAGTACAGGCAGTTAGCTTCAAGAAGAATGTCGAGAAAACTTCGAACGAAAAAATAAGAGCATAGATTCTCAATCTCGATGTCCTGCACGCCGTGCTAAAGACCTTTTGAACGCTGACGCCTCTGTTGCAGCGCATTCCTAGTGCCTCGACTTCTCGCCATCAAGTCCGATCATAGCAATGTCGTACATAACATTTCTTGGACCAGATGTTCAAGAGCCGGAAAAGGTCCACAGAGTGGCGGATAGCAGAGCATGTACAGGAGGAGATTATTGCTTAGAAGCTGTACTTTATGTGATCCGTGCACATGTAATATAGTCATGTAGCTACTTGGTCTCTTAAACCCATAGTCCAGTATTGGCGAAAGTTCGTTGGCCAGGTTCAGTCTCTCCATATACCTAGGCGTTAGTCTCGTAGATTTGCGTGGATATTTTGCAGTGAGCTTGCGATATGTCTCTCTATGATGCTAGGAAGAGTGCACTGTTCAGCTGCTACAGCTTTTCCGAAATGACTCGAGACGAATGGTCAGTAGGAAATTTGTATCTGATTATTTGATTACTGCCACTGAATGTGCTGCATCTGAGTTCGCAGCTCGCTAGTGGCAAGTTAAACAAAGGCAGAAGATTAAGATCATAGGAGGGCAAGAAAGGAACCCAGCAGAATCCTCTTGTTAGCTTTGCTTTAGAATACAGGATATGTTTTGCACGAGGGATATAAGGAGATCCAAAAACCCTGGCAAAGCCCAGCCGGAATGTAAGATTATACTCTACCCTAAGAGGAGAATATCATTGAATTTCACGTCTGTTCTGATGAGTCGGACGACCGACATTCATTTCGTTCAGTTGTGCTTCCAGTTTCACGCACTCATGCAAGGATTGCCGACGATGCGCAATCTTATCGCAGTGAGCTATGAGTGTCCGTCTGATGGTATTTGTTGGTGTGAGTGCCATCGCACACTCGGCGGATTTGAATGGTGTGCTCGAATGATTGCAGTCGCGACAAGAGTGAATGAAGAACAGAAGGTGGATCCGAAATGAGCGGATGAATTGTCCTCTGCCTCTCTGGCCTTAGAAGACTCGCACTCAGACTACGGACCCTTTAGCACACACGCCAACGACGGTAACCTTATCTGGCCGTGAGGCGAGCACGAAAACTGCATGAATTCTGACGAGCACACGCCATAATGTACGACAGTACGAATGTGCGGAGCGAACACCGTCAGCTTGATACGAGTACAATGGGAGTACAATTGTTGAACAGTGTCGCCCAAGAGGTCAGACTCACGACTCAAAAGCACGGCCTTGTGAAGGATGAAGGTGAATGAACGAGGAGCATGGACCTGGAAATTGAGAACCCGGTATGGAAGAGCATGAATCTGAGCCGCGGTCGAGTCCAGGCAGAAAGTACAGAACAATGGGAATGCATATTCATTCTCTTGTTACGTGCTCGAGGTGTGCGAGAGACGGCGCTGGTCGCTGCACTTTACTGGTAGAGAGATGGTCAGCTGCACATGGCGTTTGAAAAAAGTCGCCACTGTTCGATCAGGATAAGGTGAACGAACGGGACCCCTCGGCGTTTAAGGTCGAAGGTCGAAGGTCGAGATTAAGCCCACACACTAACTTCTGAACGTGCTTGACCTCCGGGCTCCGGGTCGCCCACAGACGAAGCACGAATAATAGGCCAATATTTCATGCGATAGCCCGAGGCCCACGTCTCCTCGCCCCACACGAAACGCAAAGAAGAGAGCAGAGCAGAGCAGAGCAGAGAGCAGCCAAGTCCGAAGCCCAGGGCCAGAGCCAGGGGGCAGAAGGGGGGCAGAAGGGGGGCAGGGGGCAGGGCAGGGCCGCAGGGGCAGCGAAGACGCGAGAAGGCCCGCGAAAGGCCCACGGCGGACGAATCGGCTGCAGAAGATCCCCACATTTCGCCACGATTCTAAAGCCGCGAGGCGACGGGCCAAGCGCAGTAGATAACCGTCACGGCTCACAAGCAGACACAGCGAGCGCCGGAGCACCACAGACACGCGCCTCTGGCCATCGCAACACACAATCACAATCTTGTCGCACGAGCTGCTCGCTGCTCGCTGCTCGCCCCGCCTGCTGACAGCAGCAGCATTGGCACCGGCTGGCTCTCGAGCGCCATGAGTAGGCATGAACTCGTCCCCGCCTGCTGATTCCTGCCGACAGCGAGCGCGAGCGCGAGCAGCATGCAGTCGTGTCGGAGCGCAGCGCCGGGATCGGACTCGTTGCGCCCTCCGCCGCCTCCTGCTCCTCGCGCGCTGGCGCCCAATGCGCCCAACGCCCTGCGACGCTCGAACGGGAATGGTGTGCACGCGCGGAGAGGAGGCAGAATGACGAGCGTGGCGTGCACGAGGCTCGATGGCGGCAGCAGCAGCAGCAGCAGCGTAGTAGCGGTGCAGCAGCAGGTGGTGGAGGGGAGCGACGGGAAGCGAGGGACTCTGCGGGAGCTGGCGGAGGAGCTGCGCAGAGCGGGCGAGCAGGAGGTGCCGCGGAGCTACGAGGTGGGCGAGGAAGAGCGCCCGACGGTGCGGCACGACGAGTTCGCGGATCTGCCGGTGATCGATCTGGCGCTGGTGCACAGCGACAGGCGCGAATTGTCGCGGCAGCTGGGCGAGGCGGCGCGCGAATGGGGCTTCTTCCAGATCGTGAACCACGGCCTCTCGCTCGCCGCCCTGCACGACATCGAAACGCAGGGCTTCAAATTCTTCGAGCTGCCCTCCGAGAGCAAGCTCAAGCTCGAGCAGCACGGCTACTTCAAAGACAACACCGCCGTCAAAATGTCGAGCCTGCACTGGGCCGAGAGCTGGATGCTCAGCTACTCCCCCCAGAGCAACATCGACGAGAAAATCAACCTCCTCTTCCCCGACGGCAATCCCGCCCTCAGGCAAGCTCCCTCCCCTCCCCTCCCCTCCCCTCCCCTCCCTCGTGCATTGCCTGCAGCCGCAATTTCAATCTCAGCTCGAGATCAGATGGCGGTCAATTCAATTCGTCGACGGGAAGAAATCTGAGCTGTGAATCGTCGGAGTGATTGATTGATGCAGGAATGCGATCAATCGCTTCTGCGAAGCGTCGGAGAGAATCAACGAGATGATTCTGGAGCTGCTGGCCGAGCACTTGGGGCTGGCCACGGACTTCTTCTCGCAGCACCTGAACGCCAAGCGCTCGCTGGGCCTGCGCATGAACTACTACCCGGCCTGCCCGCAGCCCTCGCACGTCCTCGGCGCCAACGTGCACACCGACGGCTCGTCGCTCACCGTCCTGCAGCAGGACAAGGTCGGCGGCCTGCAGATCCACCGCGACGGCCGCTGGTTCGGCGTCAAGCCCATCCACGGCGCCCTCGTCGTCAACGTCGGCGACGCCCTGCACGTACGCCCTCCACCACCCATTTCTGACATCGTCACCCATTTGTGGCTGATTTGTGCATTCGTGAACGATTTGTGGCTGATTTGTGCATTCGTGAACGATTTGTGGCTGATTTGTGCATTCGTGAACGATTTGTGGTTGATTTGTGGATTCGTGACTGATTTGTGCTGATTTGTGGATTCGTGAACGATTTGTGGCTGATTTGTGGATTCGTGAACGATTTGTGGTTGATTTGTGGATTCGTGACGGATTCGTGGTTGATTTGTTGATTTGTGGATTCGTGACGGATTTGTGGAGGAATTGTGGAGGATTTGTGGAGGAGTGGTGGCTGAGATGTGGAGGTGGGTGCAGGCGTGGACGAACGGGCACTTCAAGAGCGTGCTGCACCGCGTGGTGCTGAACAAGGAGGTGCACCGGCTGTCGCTGGCGGCGTTTCTCAACGTGGACAACAGCCTGGCGCTCTCGGCGCCGGACGAGCTGGTGGACGAGGCGCATCCGCGCCTCTACAGGCCCTTCACCTTCGGCGACTACATCCAGCAGGTGCTGCGCGCGCGCGCCGAAGAGAAGAGCTCGTCCAAGAGCATGATGGACGGCAACCGCATTCTGGCCGGCCTCAGATTCGACCCCGGGCCCTGACGCCCTCGCCCTCTCTTCTGTAATATACCTAGCATCGCCAATGGACTCTGCATCGCCGATGGATCGATTCGTATTTTCGTAGCACTAGTGGGTGTTGAAGCTGTGCTGTACATATCACTGTAATTTATTGGCTCGATCCCACCTATTCAGAGATATAGACGCAAGCGAGCCACCTCTCGGTTGGTTGTACGATACTTTACTTTTCCCACCGGAAATCTATTCCCACATTTTGGAACACATTCGTCGACTCTTTGCTTCTCACTGTCTCCGGGCCTTTTCTGCCACTCCTTGCTGCAAATGCTTCCAATGCTCGATCTCATCGCCAAAGCCTCGTCCTCGAAATTCACGATCTAGCACTCGAATCACAATTAGCAACGATCCAAAACATGCACACAAATCAGCCAAAGTCGATCAAACTCGCAACTGTCGCAAATGCTATTCGCTACCACGAATGAAAGCGACCGAAATTAGACAGTTTTAAACGAAATAAAGCGAAATATGAAGCGAAATACTGCGAAAGTTAGACCAACATGGTGGGGAACGAGCGAAACTGTAGACCCCGTTCGCAATCGCGCGAGCGCAACACGCCGAGCTGGCAAAAGCCGCAGACCCAGAACAGCAGGTGAGGCGTCGACGGATTGACACGTGGCAAAGGAAGGGCGGGTCCATCGAAGCGAGGGAGTCTCCGTGGCGAAGCTGGCCGAGCCGAGCAGAGCAGAGCAGAACAATGGATCACGGGGCCAAAGATAATGTGTGTGGGGCAGGGGCTTATGCTCGATCTGAGCCACGCATTCGCTAGCGCGACGACGGAACCCGAGTTACCGTGACCCGCGAAAAGTTACTTGCGGTTGGGGGGCTATCGATGGGCTTGTGGCTGCACAGGCCCCGATCGTCCAGCCCCCAGCCCCCCAGCCCCGGGGGCTTGTATGGGGGGCACGCATGGCACATATGGGCCAGTGACGGGGCTAGTGCAAGGACGAGCAGAGTGAGCACTCATCCAATCGGCCGTGCATTCCTCGACGATGGCAGCAGCTATGGCGTCTGCGATCTCCTGCGCCGCGGCCACGCCCGCGGTCGCAGCCCAGCTGCAGGCCAAGGGCTGCGCTACGACGCCCGCGAGAGCCGTGTGCGTCCGTGTGTCGAAGGCTTTCAGCGGCCTGCATTCCATCGACCTTCCCACGGCCTCCGTCTCCGCCAGCAGCTCCAATGTGAGCCCTTTTCCTCTGATCCTGTCTTTCTGCTCAGCTTCACGGACTCGCTCGATTGCGCCGAATTGCTCGATGTCGGGTCAGCATTTCACTTGCCCGAGTGAGACCAGCGAGAGACGTGGAATTGCGGCGTAGCGCACGATGTTCGGACCTCAGTGTCGATAGGATTTGTGAGTTTTTTCAGTCGTACGAAGTGGTGCGAATGTGCGAATGTGCGTGTGTTCTGATGCCTTGGAGCTAAAGCGCCAATCGAATTGAAATGGCAGGCGCGCACCGACGGTGCTGTGAAGTCGTCCCGAGTGGAGAACCGGAGGAACCCGGCGCTCGACGTGGTGGCCTCGGCTGGCGAGAAGAAGAACATTTTGATGCTCGGAGGTACGCGCTTCATCGGTCTCTTCCTCGCCAGGCTTCTCGTGAAAGAAGGCCACCAGGTACGCCCCGCCCCGCCTCCCCTCCCGAGCCCCCCGCGTTCATCTCCATCCGACAGCTGCAATCTTGCACGATTTGGCGCCCTTTTCGTGAGCTTCGCGTTGCGCTTCGTGTGTGCAGGTCACTTTGTTTACCCGAGGCAAGGCCGCAGTCACCTCGCAGCTTCCAGGCGAGACCGACGAGGAGTACGCAGCTTACTCGTCCCAGGTAAGAAAGTTATTCGAGAATAATCAGAACTTGAAACGAACCTCTCTGAATCAGGTCCACTTGCTGCATTCCGAGCTGAGGCCGAGCTCATGTGATTGCTCACCTTCGTGAACAGGTGAAGCACATCAAAGGAGATCGTCAGGATTTCGAATCCTTGAAGGCAGCCTTTGGCGACAAGGGATTCAACGTTGTCTACGACATCAATGGTGTGTTCGTGTTTGCACTTTCCCTCGTTTCAACTCCCTGCCAGTCGCGTTATATTCTTCACAAATCTCAAGGCCGTGCCTTTTAGAAATGCGTCAATGAATCCCGAGTCGGTTTTCAACATCCTCGATTTTCTTAGCGTCGGACCTTCTGCATGACTCGCAGGAAGGGAAGGCACAGAAGCCGAAGCTATCTTGAACGCCATACCTGCTCTCGACCAGTGAGTGAACAATCCACGTCTAAATTCTCTCAAATTGAGTCTCCTTGCATGAGAATTTCTGACGACGCTTTCTATCACTGTTTGGATAAGCTGGAATACTCCAGGACACTCTTTAACACAATCTGCTGCTGTGGCACACCAGATACATTTTCTGCTCCTCCGCCGGTGTGTACTTGAAGTCGGACCTGCTCCCGCACCGAGAGGTAATGCCGAACATAAACTGTCTGTCCTTCTCACAATCACAGAACTGTAACCTCGTTGTTCTGCAGAAGAGCTGATTTGGAATCTGACCAATGAGAATCGTTGAGCTTACAGATTGATGCAGGAGACCCCAAGAGCAGACACAAAGGAAAGTTGGACACAGAAGCTCTTCTGGAGAGCAAAGGTGTCAAGTGGACCTCTATCAGACCAGTTTATATCTATGGGCCTCTCAACTACAACCCAGTTGAGGAATGGTTCTTCCACCGCCTGAAGGCAGGCAGACCAATTCCTATCCCCAGCTCTGGCCTTCAAATTACTCAGCTGGGTCACGTCAAGGTGAGAAACTTGACTCTTTACGTGTTGGGTTCCATAGATCTACTTCTCAGCAGATCGTAGTTCAGGTTTTACACCTCCATGTTGCTCATCACGTGCCGGAACACTCCAGGATCTGGCCACTGCCTTCGTCGCGGTCCTTGGAAACGAGAAAGCCATCGGCCAAGTTTACAACATCAGTGGATCAAGATACGTCACCTTTGATGGAATTGCCAGGGCATGTGCAAAGGTATGCTAGTGAAAACCAAAAATCCTCTTGCTGGTTCATATTAGTCTCTGTTTCTTCTTTTCCCCACTTTTCAACCTTGATCGGGCCATAACATTTCGTTTTTCTCCTACCTGCCTCCATTGATCACCAGGCTGGAGGATTTCCCGAGCCGGAACTCATTCACTACAACCCGAAGGACTTTGACTTCGGCAAGAAGAAAGCTTTCCCCCTGCGGGACCAGGTGATTATGATGATTATGATTCTTCCTTGCGCATCTTCGTGGGAGTGACGTAGAATCTTACAGTGTTTGGATCTCGAACTTTCGTCAGCCCACTAGGTCTTCATCCAGTTTGTGAGGTCATCCAGAAACTCGTCCATGAGGTGACTGGGGATGTCTTGGGGATGGTGATTGTGCTGCAGCATTTCTTCACTTCCATAGAGAAGGCGCAAGTCGAGTTGGGATGGACACCAGAGTTCGGCCTTGTTGAGGGTTTGACAGACTCTTACAACTTGGACTTCGGAAAGGGCACATTCCGAAAAGCGGCCGACTTCTCCACCGATGACATGATTTTGGAAAAGCTCGGAAAGAAGACTTTTGTCGCTGCCTGAAGCGTCGAAAGATGTAAGCATAGTTTACGGCACGTACAACCTGATTGTAGAATGCAATTCAGCTGACGTTGATTTGGGACCTGAACGGTTAAAGCTCGAGCCACTCCGACTACTCAAACTGCCGGATACCCACAGCTTGGATCCTGTGTAATGTCGCAATAGCCAGAACTGTACAAAAGCTTTAGTGTAGGAAAACTTTATGCACGACAGCGAGATTTTTGCTGATTTCAGTTAATGAATCTTGAGTTGTAAGACAAGGGATTTGCAAGCTTTCCCGTCAAGCCTTTGAAAAGGCTTATAACTTCGCTTTGGTTGAGCTGTATTTTCTCACTCATGCTGAGCTTACTGCTCTGATTATTGTATTCTCGGTACCCTGCAAATTTTTCCGCAATCAATCAAAGCATCACAACATCCAGAACACAGTCCAAGTGACGTGAATTATATTGAATGTCCACCTTTAAGCCTTTCTATTTTGTTGTACACATCGTGAAGTAATTCCTTATTGTTGAATGCTGCACGAGATCCATTAATTTGGATTTATATAATGCAGCCACAAGTCCTTGACGCCTTCCTTGCATCTCACAGTACCCAAAGGTACTTACGTTCGTAATTCTGCTGCCTACTACCATCGAATCATTCTGTAATGCGGACCTTGGGAATTCTTCTAAGAAGTTCTGGCAGTATAAAGCATTAAAAAATCTCCATTTATAGATGAAGCAGACAAAGGATGACAATCCTCTGTAACCGTCTACTTCGTACGCAAACGTAATTGAATCCAGCGGAACAGTTCTTCAAAACTGTGACTAGAATGTGGACAATATGTACCAACAGTTGTAGATAATATTATTGATTTTTTCACTCTCCGCCATAATAAGATATAATTAGTGACCTACAGGCGCTGCGTCTGAGCTCTGTATTTGAGAATGAGTTGATCCTTGAGTAATCGGCGCAAAATTTTGCCAGATGTGGACTTGGGAATCTTCGGCACTTGTTCTACGAACCTGACCTTCTTGTAACTCGCAACCTGTACATCAAAGCAGGAATATGTTTTTCAGTCAGCGGGGAAGAGTATTTTGAAGCCTCCTTGCCGAACATGGGCCCTACCACAACAGCCTGGTCTGATTATATCACGGAAATAGGATAACTGAGATGTAAATTTGGAAGGTGACCTGAGAGTTGACATAATCTTTAACTTCCTTCTCCGTGACGAAGGCATTGGGCGACAGCACAATGCAAGCTGCTGGAATTTCCCCAGCTTCATCATCTGGAATTCTGCTCAGACAAGAAGTACGAAGTTAATGTCGTTTTGCGTCGAACACAAAGAGCAATGACAACAGTTGCAATGAGGGGAGAGCCACGATGTACATACCCGACAACAGCAGCATCAGTAACAGCTGAATGAGAAATCAGGATCGCCTCGAGTTCCGCTGGCGGCACCTGATGCAGATCAAGATGTCAGAAGATGAAGCCAGAACCTGGGACTATATTCAAGCCTTCAGACTCTTGTTTTCTCTGGTACCTGAAATCCTTTGTATTTGATGAGCTCCTTGACTCTTTCCACGATGTACACATCACCGTCGTCATCAATATAGCCCACATCTCCAGTGTGCAGCCAGCCATCTGCATCTATAATGCTCTCCGTAGCTTTGGCATTCTTATAATATCCTGATTCTCAGACATGAGCACAGCGAACTGCATCACCTTCGGAACTAAACACTTGAAGCAAGCAGAATCGTCCACTGGCCGATCATCACTAGTCTAGACAGTTCTGTCTCCATCACCCAAAGCTTAACAGTACCTTTCATGATAGTGGGCCCTCGGACGCAGAGCTCACCATGAGCATGAGCCGGCACAGATTTGCCGGTGCTCAGATCCACAAACTTTATCTGCGTCCCGGGCATAAGGAAGCCCACCGATCCTTTCTTCGACGGCTTGACATCGAGGCCGTAAGGGGGCGGGACATGCGAGAGGGTGACGCAGCTGTACTCGGTCAGCCCATAAGCCTGAGAGAAGAAGCCATGGCACTCGGTGAGGGAAGAAGCACAAACATGGCACTGGCTGAACAGAGGGAAGAATGGGAGCTCGACGGACCTGGCAGATCAAAACTCCAGGAAACTTGTCTTCGAATGCTTGTTGGAGCTCGGGACTGAGCGGAGCGGCGGCGCACAAGATGGCCGAGAGTTTCAGAGCAGTCAAGTCGAATTCGGCCACGACGGGACTCTTGAGGAGAGAGAGGATGATGGGCGGGACCAAAGGAGCCGACGTGACCTCGAAGTCGAGCAGCACTTGCAGAAGCCGGCGAATCTCGTAGCGCTCCATGACGACGATGGTGCCGCGATTGCGCATGGTGGCGCACCCGAGGCCGGAGATGCCATAGATGTGGAAGAAGGGCATGAGCCCGAGCACGGTCTCGTGCGGGCCCATGCGCTGGCTCGAGAACTTGCACTGCGTCACGCACAGCGTTTGGCACAGATTGGCGATGATGTTGCGGTGCGTGATCATCACTCCCTTGGGCAGGCCCGTGGTGCCCGACGAGTATGGCAGCAGGCACACGTCGTCCGGCGACATGCTCACCGCTGGCGCCTTCGCCCCGTCCGCTGTCAGCAGCGTCTGCACCGTGATCGTTCCCGCCATCGCCTCGCCGCCCACCATCACGATCGGCACCTCGATGTCCGCCACCTGCACATGCAATGCTTCAGATTCGGAATCATGAAATCTCTCCGTCGCCAATGCAATGCGCCGATTCATGCTTCTGCATTACTGATTCAGAATCAGAATCATGAAATCTCTCCATCGCCAAGGCAATGCGCCGATTCATGCTTCTGCATTACTGATTCAGAATCAGAATCATGAAATCTCTCCATCGCCAATGCAATGCGCCGATTCATGCTTCTGCATTACTGATTCAGATTCAGAATCATGAAATCTCTCCATCGCCAAGGCAATGCGCCGATTCATGCTTCTGCATTACTGATTCAGAATCAGAATCATGAAATCTCTCCATCGCCAATGCAATGCGCCGATTCATGCTTCTGCATTACTGATTCAGAATCAGAATCATGAAATCTCTCCATCGCCAATGCAATGCGCCGATTCATGCTTCTGCATTACTGATTCAGATTCAGAATCATGAAATCTCTCCATCGCCAAGGCAATGCGCCGATTCATGCTTCTGCATTACTGATTCAGAATCAGAATCATGAAATCTCTCCATCGCCAATGCAATGCGCCGATTCATGCTTCTGCATTACTGATTCAGAATCAGAATCATGAAATCTCTCCATCGCCAATGCAATGCGCCGATTCATGCTTCTGCATTACTGATTCAGATTCAGAATCATGAAATCTCTCCGTCGCCAATGCAATGCGCCGATTCATGCTTCTGCATTACTGATTCAGAATCAGAATCATGAAATGTCTCCTGTCGATGTGATCCGATCATGCTGCCGTGCATGAGCTCGTGCTCTGAGGGACATATGCAACACCAATCCAAGAGCAATGCACGAAGGGCTGGCCAGCAGGATCATGATCGAGGTCCTGGGAAGACATGGGGCAAGAGAAAAGGAGAGGAAAGAAGGAGAAGACCTTGCGGAGAGTGGGAGGGTCGGTGATGAGGAGCTTGGCGTCGGAGCTCAGAACTTGCTTGAGGATCTCGGACGGATGAGCGTAGGGGTTGCAGCCGGAGAAGATGGCGCCCACGCTCATGACGCCGAACACGAGAATGAAGTACTCGGCGACGTTGGGCAGCACGAAGCACACGACGTCGCCCTTGTGAATGCCCAGGCTCGCCAGCCCCGCCGCCACATTCTTCACCAGCCGGCGGAACTCGCTGTACGTGTACTGGCGCCCATCGGAGCTGTCGACGATGGCCACGCGGTCGAAATCTTGCTCCGCTCCGTCCAGCACGAACTCCGGCAGCGTCATGTCGATGGCCGAGTCCGCAATCGGGTATGCTGGCAGCTTGCTCTCGAAGATGTACTCCCTCTCCGCCATCATCAAACTTCTCGCCATGACGCTCTTCCTTCTCTCGCTCATCGACGATGCCAATGCCCGTCTGCTGAAGATCGACGTCATGGTGGTGCATGAATTTATACAGCTCCTTTGAGGCAGTGGTCAAACGCGCAAGAATGAATGTGCATGTGCCTGGTGTGGCACGAGTGGGTCACCTCATTCTACTGGCTGGCCTGGACTGGACTGGCCTGGCCTGGCCTCCGAGACGATTCAGTAAGTCATCATCATCTCTCTCTCTCTCAAAACATTTGGATCCAACACAAACACAGGCAGCAGCTGATTGAGTCGACGTGGGCCATATCTGACTGAGAAGAGACAATTCTCAACTGCCGTGATGAGCCACGGATTTCATGCATGCGTGCACATCAGAAGATCTATGAGCGATGATGCAGACCCACTTCCGAATCTTCCTGAAAGCAGCCCCGTTCTCCATGGACGCTCGCGATTGCAACAACGAGAGGCATTATGGGCTGGGACGCAAGCCAAAACTTGCCTAGAGCAAAACACGAACCACTCCAAGGATGACCTCGACATTTGAGCAAGCCTGTTCTTCTTGCCTGCTTGTAAGTTTCAAAGCAGGACCGGCTGGTTGTTCATTCGTTTACATTTTCATTCGGACTCTATTTTCTGATCCTGCATAGAGTGCGCTTATCGTCTCTGCTCATGCATGTGAAGGAACATTGTGGTATAAAATCAAGGGCATAGAGAGACCAATACGTGCATGACTGGATGTTCATTGAGTCTTCTAGAAAGATGGGTGACGAATAGCATTTCCAGTACCTGTTTGGACATGCATACGTCAACGTGTGACGAAAGCGCAATATAGGCATGAACATATAACCCTCTTGGAGGTCTGCACAACTCTCGACCTGATCACGAGAGTCATTGATCATCTTCGCTTCCATTCCTTGCTTTTAACAACCAAGCCAAGCGAGGCGTTCAAGTGTTAGGCTGTAAATCTGATGGTCAGACTCGTCGTGGTTTTGAAATCTGGCTCAAAACCGTGGGCTTTTCTGCTGCTCAATCCTGGTCGTCAAACCTGGACTGAGTCTCTATAGAGGCCTCACGCTAAATAGAAACTGTTTAGAAGTTTATAGTAAGGTGGATAATTGTAATTACAGTGGATGCACCGATTTCGGCTTTGCTTCGTATATGTTGCAACCGAAATGTCGGAGTAGAAGAGCTTCACAGAGTCGCCAAGTATGTTATTCATCATCAAGTATTAGTGCTAATTATTTACAAATTACCTCCGACCTCCCCATTTGAAGTTCAGTGGCTGGAACCTATCTACCTGAATGATTGTGGCCCACATCAATGGCTTCTTTGCTGATATGGAAATGAGTGTAAGCTTTGGACTCGTCTAAGCGATAAAATGGCATGTTGCAATAAACTGCCTTACTGAAAGATGATGGGAAACACTTCTAAAAAAGCAGCCATCAAGCATGCACCCGTTATTGCTCAAAAACAGAGACAAAGTTGTTCTAAATCTCCCCTAACAAACTGATTCCCAGTACTCTGCTGCTTCAGTATGCACTCGACGTTCCGCGTCATTGCTTGAAAGTTGCACGGTGCTACTGGCCCAACAGTGTTGCAGCCCACAGCTACAGAGACACTAAATTACTGTTACGCTTGGCGCCAACACAAGGCTAAGACAACTCATATCAAGAACATCGAACTTCAGATGATTTTAAGTTATCGGTTTAGCCAACTACATCGACTCCATCTAATGTTCAGGTTTAACTTAGGGCAATGTGACAATGTCTCCATCTTCATCAACAGCAAACATACGAGTTGCCGAGCTCACAACTTGCTATTCTTCTTGAAGTTCCAAGTCCAAGGTTTATTTAATTGATACACCATCTCATGACAAAGCGAATGGTTCATGGACATCAAGACATTGAGAGAAACAATACAATGAGTTTTAAAGAAAAAAATTGAAAAAGCAGAAGCTCTCAGTTGATGGATTCTCGGCTCCTTATTGGAACTTCGATATATCAATGTGTGGATGTTTGCATTCTCAGAAGTTTCTCGTTGATCTTGAGACGACGAAAGATCAATCGCTGAATACAAAATATAGAATGGATGTCTCACCAACCTATGGACACCACGACACACTATTGGTGAACTTTCGAGCCAAACTAGTCATTGCTTTGGCACGTAATTTGTACATAAACTTGATTTTGTATAATAACCATACACATCCACTGACTTGAGGGCCGAATAAGTTCGAACTACCCTTCGGAATTGAAGGAAACAGTATGGTGCGGAGAGGGCATTGGAATGGAAGAGGGAATTCAACAGGCGTAGAGTGAACGGACCCCACGACCTCTCCCCACAATCGACCCATTCCTTCGGTTCTCCTTAATATAAATGAAGAATTGAAATGAGGCAAGACCCCAATTCAATTTTAGACCTTTACTTTCCGACTTCCTGTACTATAGGTTCCGGCCTTTCAGTCTCCTACTTCCATCGTGTAGGATGCTAACGTAAAATAGAACCTCGAGAGAGAATGACTCGCGTGTTAAATAACAACTTTTGCAAACTACTTCCGACAGAAGAATTAAGCGTGATCGATCGAAACGAACAATTACGAGGTTGATGCGCACCTCGTATGATTTTGAGAAGATTATTAGGTTCTGTATGTTCGGGAAACTTTGTAAATAACCTGAAATCTTCACTCGAAGCGCCAAGCTGGATCACATCTTCTCTCCGTTTCGAACTAGATATACACGTTCCCACCTTCCCATGTTCTACATATTTAGACGAATATGTAGAACATCCCTGGTCATTTCATCGGTAAGTGGGAGTCTACACACAGTTAAGAGATACATGAGTAACCCAACACTCGCTAAACAAACCTTACACTTCATTTTCCGATCTACAAACAATACAAAACAAGTCTGTAGTTGATTCAAAGTTGCAACTTCAAGGAATGCAGAACCATCCCCCTTCCGAACCTCGTTCCCAGCTTACTGCTTGAAACCGTGACAACACAAACAAAACAATAATGATCCGATAAGGATATACCTAGTTGCAAATTATGAAGAAGAACCAACGAGCCGACGAGTGGAAACAATCTGATTTTTCCTAATATTGGAGCGTAGTAAAAGACACAAGATTTGAAGACACGGTTCACTTTCTTTTCACATATAGACATCATTCAGTTGAAGTACATGTCTCCCAACGACTTGATCAGGGAAGTTCTCAACTCGCTATAAAGGTCTAACAATATACGACGCCTATATCTGCAATCAGTAATAATTCTTACAACGCACAGACTGCTTGGAATATAGTAGCGCCTTGGTCCAATTCAGTCCCTTTCTACACAGAAGTACTAGAATTGCTCCTCCTTGAGCAGAGCGACCAAATATGATGACTGACAGGTAGAGTGGCACCAAAATCAGCAATTCCTGGTGTCAATCGTACGTGCTGTTCCGTTAAATGGTCAACACACCATCATTACTATTTCACTTTCCATCTGGATCAGCTTGATGTGAATGACTTTGCTAGGCTGTAAAAAGCTTTGTCATGAAGACCTACCGATGAAATTGTACCAAACCTTTCGACGGCCAGACCGACTGAATCGATGATGAAGACATTGCCAGCATAAGGCTGCAATTTGTCCTGGAACTGGCTTAGAAGTAATGACATGACAAGAGACCTAAGTTGCAGATAACATTAAATTGGCTGATGTGGGTGACGACACAGCCAGCTCGTATAAAATAAATACAGCCTGAGTAATCCTATATTGACAACTGCCAATTGTGGGTATACGTTACAAGCCCTCCTTGCCTGCATTAAAGATTTAAAAGATCATCAATGCTGAAAGGCCAACCCTATACTGGAGGATGGTTTCCCCTGGAAACCTGAAAATAAGTTCGACAAAATGGGTAGTTTGCATGGACCCTTCCCTTCCCAAGATTCACTACTTGACAGTTTTAAAGGGCACGCGTGTGTATTTGAAGGAAACGCTACTCTTTGTTCATCGAATCTGTGCTGCCGTCACGATGTGTTCATGACCTTAGCATGGTACCATTAGCTAGGCCTGTACACATACACATGTACCACACAGAGTCGAGGCAGACAATGTCAATAGTCCTGGTGGCTTCTATTCGAGTATGCAACCTTCAAATCTTCCAAGTCATTCCAAGTTAACCAAGGGCATGATAGAAACCTGGATAGACTTACCATTGCTTAAATGTTGAATAGTGTGGCCTTCGGGCGCCATCGGTGCTGCTCCTCCCACACCCTCAACAAGACTGTCCACATGAAGAATATGCTGTAAATTTGAAGGAAAAACTAAAGGACTAAAACTACGATACGAGGCAGTCAGCGACTAACAAGAATGCGTTCAAGAGAAGAAATACGTGACATCAAAGAGGAAGTATGATGATGATCGAATGTCCGTCGAGAGAGAATTTCAGTTGGAAACACATACCTTGTGCTCAATCTGTATCTCTCCCCCGTATGGAGAGGTTGAAGAGTCCTACCGGATTCCTCCGTCCTGACAATGTCAACGACCCCGTCGCCCATAACGTTGTGCAGTGAAGAAAGTTGAGAACCTATGCAAGAAAAATATTCAAATAATTCAACTTGCTGTTTGGCAGACGGTTTCTTGTACACGGTACAACCTTACACTGCAACAGCTATTTAGGTTAGGTAACTTTTGTCCCAATGATTCATGATTTAATAAAACGATGGGTCTGACTTGTTCTCTGTGGTTCTCAAGCCGTTGACGCAGTTAATTCACCTCCGATCAACTAGGAATAGTCATACTCATCTATCTGAGAAAGCTGCCACTCTTGAAAACTTTGTTCAATCATAAAATCACGTGAGCACCTAGACTTCAACGGTGACTGGGAGACAAAATTACATATCGATTGAATCAGTAGATCCAGTTCTAATTTACGTTATGAGACGTAGGGTAGATTTCAAGTAACCAGGAGCTGCAAAAGAGGAAGTGCGAGAGGAGAAAACGTGAACTGCCTAATATCGTGCACAACGTACGTTACTAAATCAGAACATAACTATTATGATACTACTCAACTATTTCCATATACACGAAATCCAACAAGTGCAAGGTGAATGTACAAACAACTTAAACTGAACAAAGACAGGCCACCAGGAGGAAGCTGGGACTGACACAACTTAGACGTAAACTTTTCCGTTGTAAAAGCAATGGTCTCTACTACAATAATGGCGTTGTGGAATGTCCACTTGAGGAAAAATGACACGATGCCGCCTACGGCACCAGCCGTACCGTCAAAACAAAACTCCCAGATGTTGAAAATTAACTTTTTTATTTCAGTGCCAATGGTATAACAGACAAATTAGAAATGATTTTCACACACAGTGACGAGTTATGATACATACTGTGTAATGTAATGAATAGCTGGAGAGTGCATGAGAGTCTCACATCTAGTGTTAAGCGAGGGACTATAAATAACTGTAAATAATATTTCTTATGCTTGGTTTCACTTAGACAAATAAGTCAACCAATAGAACAATGTTTGAACTGTCCTCATTAACATATGTCTGTCACAATCAGAACGGCCCCGCACCTGATTGAAACGTCCTAAGGTGATAACATTGAAGTTTGGAAAAAAGAGCCACACAATCAGACCAGAACAATATTCCCTTGATTTCACGGATACTTCAACAATGATGGTGACAAATGACATGTGCGACTAATCTCACACCATTGCTTCCCAGCTGTCTATCGATGTCCTGCGAATTACACTCATCAGCTACAGTACAGGGCAATGAACAGGATCACTGTCCTGAAATAGGAACTCGACATTACAGCCTGCTGTAACGTCTACAACGACACTACAGCCTCTGCTGTAATGTCTACATTTGAATTTGAATGAGGTATGGTCGATGCAGAAGTATCTCCCCAAGCATGGAAATCCTAGGGCTTACAGACCTGAGTAACAAGCAAAAACATAAACAAGATACAACACAAATGAAAGCTAAAAGAGGGACAATGAAAAGGGATTGAGAACATAATCAGGAGTGTATGAAAGTTGTGACCCCACGCCGACCCCTTATAACACCTGCCACATGTTGACCACACAGACTTCTCAAAGAGTTTCGTCTACACAAAAACCTTGTTCACTTGCTTTCTATGTAGGAATAGAGAAAAAAACACAGAGCCCTGCCCAAGAACTGGATTCTCGTCGAGACCCAATTTATCCTTTTTGCGACTACAACTTCAAACTCTTTGTGCTAGTGAAAAAAACGCCCCTGCGTACAGCATGCTCTTTCAGTCTTCATTATAAGATGATGTGCTACATGACCATAAATTGTGTATGAACACAAACTAAATCCAACGTCCCAAGATGTTTATTTCCCTCGTAAAACTGAACCGCAGTACTCTTGGAGAACTTCGAATAGAAGCAAACTCAGAAAACCACAAGCCCAAGCCATGTTCAGGCCACAAATTTCTTACCCTGTTTAGCTTAAGTAAAGAACCGATGTACGTGACCGCATAATTACGTGAAATTTAAGAAGATCACAGCCCCGGAAGTGAAGCTACCTATCTCAATAACTTTCTCACAAGAAGCTGCTTAAATTCTATATCAAAGATACTTGGTTTCCTGACAGTCATGACCAGATGTTCAAGACGGACAAACCGACCAACACACGTCACACAGTATAGGTGATCTCATCTGTGTGCTAACGACAGATGTACACGATCTGGACTCCCATGAACAACTTTCCACTGGTGTTCAGATCGATGCCTTCTCCCAAAAGCGGGGAGAAACCGAGTTGGTTCTCGGCGACAGTGTTGCACATAGAACATGTTACTTGTTTCTTGTAAAAAGTGCTGTTTCACTTCCCAGAAAAATAACACTGCCCCGCAGCCCAGCAGCCAGCAGCAACTCTGCAGTGTTTGTGGGGACAGTGTAGCTTTGGGCTTCCACGAGACTCGTGGATAAATTTCAGGGCAAAAGGATATTAGACACTGAAGACTAGGAAGAACTGGTTAGTGCGACAAGGTGGAAGTAGTGCGAAACCTCCCGCCAAACAGGTCATGGTTAGAGTCCAGTCACTCCGGTCACTCATCATGAGATCTCTCAAACCCTTGCTAATGCACATGATTCTAAAGATTCCACATCAAAAGCTTGACTTTGAAACACAAGCGAGACAGAACTACAAACCATGACAAGCCAATACACCGTTGACCTGGACAAAATCGCGCTTTGCAACAGCTGTCGCCCTTGCTGGACGAATCCTTCTTCTTTCATTTTCTACTAACTTCTCATTACAAGACACCAAGTAGAGAGTCATAATAGGGCTGTTGGTCCTTGTAGTCCTGGGGACACACCTGCCCAAAAGCTAGAAACTTACTACTTTCCCTAAAGATGTGATCCATAAGCGTCAACTCTTTCAGAACGACACATGTTCATGGCAGACAGATTACCACTAAAATCTTTCAGGATCCGAGATCGGAGTAAGACTCGCAGGAGCTGAAAGAGGAGAAAAACTCGCCGCCTTCTGAAGTCAAGAAGAGTGTAATGAGGAAGGTATTTCAGAACGTTCAAGTAAGGGAGGAACACTGACCCCCTTGCGCATATCCGCCAGCCGCTCTGGACGAAGCACTTTCATAATGGTCGATGATTGTCGGTTTCTGCTCGAAGCCGCCACCATCAGAAGTTGTATCTGCTCTTCCCCCACTGTTCGAATTCTCTTGCCCGGAATCCTTGTCAACCTTGGGTTTTTTCTCCTTCGGAGAATCGACATCTGTATCCTCTGACTCACCATTTGTTGGTGTCACCAACTGTTGCTTTCTCTTTGCCCTAGCCTTCCTGTTTTGGAACCAGTTGTAGACATTGGTTTCGGCAATTTGTCCATGCTGACTCAGCTCTATAGTAATTTCCTTGATCCGCTGCTTGTTGGGTGTCCCGTTGCCTTGATCAAAGAGCTTCTCAAGAATTTGTAGTTGACTCTGGCTTGGCGTCCACCGCTGCCTTGCGGTGGTTTTGTGATTGGGTGTTCCTATGAGTGGGTCATAGGATAGTGGGTGCTGGCCTACCACAATGCCTGGAAATAAACTAGTCAGTAGCCTGTGAGTAGCCTGCCGGCTCGCACACATGGTGACATTGTACTTTCGCGTCCGTATGTAGTACCTAGCCAAAGGAAGTAAATATGCAGAGCTTACAAGCATGGTATCAGAAGATACGCACAACCATACCTACGGAGAAGTAGCTAGAAACAAACTGAACAGATCCTTCACAATGCTCGACCACGCAAACATGAAGAGTGCAACTCACTTTAAAGAATATAACAATTTCTTAGATTTCTCAAAATGCAAATCTTTATTACTACCATGGCTTTACCGACAGAGTTGCATACTGCTTAATCGCCATGACATACCATAGTGTGTGGGTACCTTATCAACTCTTTTGATTGGTTGGCTCAGTAAGTATAAGCTTAAGCTAGCAGTCCTACCCTGACAACAGACTTCATGGCTACCACACGTGTAGCCAAAGGCAGTACAGTCTTGCAGGATCGGAAGTCTGGCCAGCCTGGGTCGTAAGAAACAATCCCACATCGAAGTTGTTCGACTGAGATGGAAGCTAGAGAAAGCTCCTCACGACTCGAAACACCTCTCTAAAACAATGCCGCTCGTCTCAGGCGGAAGGAAGGACACAACCGTCGAGGCCAATCCTCCACTAGGGTTGCACCGTGCAGAGCAGGAAAGCCATTCAATGCGGACGTCCTTCACTAGTGCCACTACCATTCAAGCACTACACCGAAATGACAAAGAGACAATCCAGTGACATGTATTCATGATGCTGTCTTCCTTCGGATTTTAGGAGAGTATAGATAACTAACCAGCTAAAGAAGACTGCGCTGAGACACTCGCTTTGTGCATCTCTACAAGCTGCTGGCAAATGGTAGAGTATACAGAAATCTGCCGTCTCAATGTTTCCAGCTGCTCGTCTGTCATCACCTGGCCCGACCCCAGCATGTACAGAGGCTGGGGCAGGTTATTGTCCATGCTCGGAGTCAAAACCAACGCCGCGCCCCCGCCCACGCTCTGAACCTGCACCTGCTGCTGGAGTGGTGCCATTTCCACCTTCCCTCCGACCCTTGCGTCAGCCTCCATGCTCCTGACCGCTTCACATATCACCGCGACGAGAGCACCAGACGGAGAAAATAAGGATTCTGCGAAATCCCCCTGCCCACCGCCGCCGAGCTAATCCCGAATTCTGCCCCCCGAGCTGCACACCCTCGCGGAAGCCATCGGTGCGGCGCGCGCCCCTCACCGGGCGAGGCTGCGAGGCGCAGGAGGGTCGGAATGCCGCGGCCCCGCGGCGATGGAGGGAGCGGGCGAGCGCGAATCAAGAAACGATCAGCGGGACGAGAGCCTCGGCCCAATTGCAGAAACCCCGAGGGCGAGCGAGAATCGACAGACTGGCGACAGCTCGTCGGGGCGAGAATGCGGCACGGTACGAAGGGGCGAACCGGTCGAACGGCGGGCCGGGGCCGTACTCGTCGTACTCATACGCCTGCGAGAAATCCTAGAGCATTATCACGCGCGGGCTCTTGGCTGCGCGAGAGAGCGACCACTCGACATTCCACGCGGTCCGGACGCGTCAAGAGAAGCTGAAAAGGCGATCCCGGGTCGGAGACAGAAATGTGAGGCGGAGGCGGACGAGGTTCAAGGCCCGGCTGCTGATCACGACGACGACGACGCTCGCCATGATTACGAGTTTCCGTGCTCCGGGCACGACACCATGAGATTCAAGCGCTGTAACCCCGGGGCATTGCCCGCACCGCGACAATTCTGCACCTCACTTGCCAAGTGTCATGAACAGCAGCGGTGTCGACCCCAGCGCCGCGCGTGATGCCCCCGCAAGACTGTTCACGTATGCTCGCGCAATCGCTCACGCAAACTCATCGCCCATCTGATCCCCCAATTCGGCCCCCGCCACCCTTCCGCTGACCTTGGGCCCCCGAAAATCGTCCCTCCTCGCAACCCCAGAATTCCACCGCCCCTGCCGTCTGCGGAAAAATCAGCCACCAATCGGCGTCCGCCTTCCAATCGCGTCGCGAAATTGCGCACTCACGACGAGCCCACCATCGCCACCACGCACGCTGCGCAAACGAGCGCTCCCGAGGACGATCGAATTCTCACGAGCCCGGCCGGAGGCAAACCAGGCGGCGGGCCGATCGATATCGCAAGCCCTGAGCTTGAACCAGGCGAGAAGGAAACGCGTCGGAGCACCAACTGACCCCCACCCCAACCAGACAGACAGACAGACAGACAGCCGCAGCGTGCCGCGAGACGGATTGAAATAAGAGCCTGCGCAGCGAGTCACGAGAAAAGGCTCCAGACGCGAGCAGAGCCTGAAAAGAGAGCGAGCGCGAGTGGGCCGAGCAGTCGGGCGCGGGCCGGACCAGGGCACCCGAGGACGACAGAGCAAATCCTCAGAGCCCTGCCGGTCGAGCGACGTGGGCCGGGCCGGGCCGGGCCGGGTCGGCGTCCAGGGTTTAGGGTAGGCGCGGACACAGTCTGCAAAAGCGTACGCCCGATGAATGTACACCCGAGACAGACGTGTCAAAAGGGGAATCTGGCGAGTGAATGGGGACAGGGAATAATAACGGCGCATAGTTTTGCCACCGCCCGATGACCATCGCCAGCCTCGCCGTCTATCTCCCCATCCACGTCACCCTCTCATCCATCCATCCATCCATACATGCATCATACATACTCGCCGTGGACTCCAACGTCCACCCTCGCCCCATTCCCTTCCCTTCCTTGCACCATGCACGAGAAACGAGCTCTCGCCGGCGCCCTCAAGCCGCGGACCCTGGCCTCGTCCGAGCACGTGTCCCGCCATTCCGTCGACTCGCTCGTATACACACATCTTCCATGTCACCTGATTGCCGGTCCATTACTCGATCACCTCCTTCACGTCCACATGTTGCTGTCCGGGCCGGCATTTGGTGCATTCCGGCGACATCGCCCTTGCGGTGGGAATATAGGTCGGTCTGTGTCATCCTTGACGTGCAAACAAGCGACACCGCCTCTAGAGCATGTGTAGTGCACTCCGGGCCAGAAAGAAAAGAACGAGAGCAAGGCAATCTCTTATCGTGAAAGAGAGGTAACGACGCGGAAAGAAAATGCGCATGTTGACTGCTGGTTGGATTCCCGCTCTGCATCGAAAGGTGGATGAATGTTTGCGCGCACGGCCGTCTCTTTATCTTCCCACTTCTCCCGGCCAGGGTAAGAGAACTCCTGCCGGAACCTGTCGAGTCGCAAGGACGGCAACTTCTTTCTTTCTTTCTTTCCTTCTTTCCTTCTTTCCTTCCTTCCGTCCTTCCTTCGATGGATCTTCGAGGATTATTGGGCATCGACATGGACGACGATTTTCAACACGCCTCGCATGGATTTCGCTTTCCCAAGGGAAGGGGGGGGGTTCATGCACTTGGCTTGACTTCCAAGTTTCGGCGTACCGTCTCTTTTATCTATGTAACGGTAACGTCCGTATTTAAAACGAGATCGGAGTCTAGAATACAGAATGGGAATCTGTATGGGTAGCCGAGAATATTCGCAACCTGCTCGGTTCGAGCTTTATTACTGAAGCCAGGCTGCGCATATGCTCATTCTCGATGTCTTCCCCCGTCGAAGAGAATGTACAAAAGGCAATCGTATTGAGGAATCTACAGACGGCAGGCAGCGTCCGCGATGTACATTCACGGAGCCCGCCGCTCCTGATCCTTGGGGTGGGTGTGTTTAAGCGTCCAATCATGCCTAGAAATAGAATCTGTCGAGGTATGCATACATACATTGGTCGGTGAGTTCCTGTACTTGAATACACGATCGTATGAATGTGTGAAATAGGTTCCTCCTCCACATAAGCAAATTCGAGCACACCAATCTAGCCAAATCAATTTCCTTCCTGCACGAGGACTTTGCACTCTGATACAATGGCTGGAAATTACCTCTTACCGGTTGACCAACTTCCGCAAGAGACAAGCTCTTGCCCAGTTTAGCAGCCAAATACCATCGTGACCGAAGGTTGGAATGTTTGTAGCCAATTTCTTCATTTCGTCTCTTTCTCGCTCCTTGTGAATAAATTATTTACATCCAGAGTTGGCCTTTTTCTTTCGCAACACTAGAGTATCCAAGGTCGAGTATCGAGTGTTTGTCTAGAAGACTTTTGGGACCATGCAGCTCGACATCGGGCTACGTATGAACTAAGGCTTGCGGAGGTAAATATGCTCCGTCGATTTCTGAATGATTGGCTGTGTCCTTTCTGGAGTGACAATCCAGCTCGAACGTTGGTATCACTCACTGGCTGACGGGGGAAAACAAGACGAATGCCATGGGATTTGACAGCATTCATGTGTGGCAATAAATATTGCATGTTCTCGGCCTGAGCTCCAAGCCAATGTTGCATGAACGAATCACACCATGTCAGCGTTCCACTTCTAGAAACCAAAACCACTTGTCTTATTACGGTGATGAGGAGCCGGAGGTTAAGGCCAATTGAGGCCCGCGGCCACAAGCAGCATGGAAGCTGATCTGATCGTAAGCATCTTTCCAGGAGCAGCAGGAGGAGGAGGAGGAGGAGGTGGTACATGTACAAGGATTGATCCTTTTGTGAACAAGGAATGGAATCTGGAGCGCGGTGAGTCAGCGGAAAGGTCTGGAATAAGAAAAGGCTCCCACAAATGATCACGAGGAAAAGTCGTTTGTTATCTACTGTAGGGGGCGAGTAAAGTATTTGCCCCTCGTCGCTAATTTGTCAGGCTTTCGAACCCAGACGGAAACGAGCAGAGCAGACGAGAGCGGCCAGCCGCCAGGCAAAGGACGAACGAACCGTACTATCAGGGTCTCTCTCAGACACACCCTCATGACTCCAAGGGAATCAACCGCTCCAACGAGCCAGAAGATCGTCATCCATCCTCTCAATGAGATGAAAAGGATTGCCAAAGCTTCCGTTCCCATCGATCGGACGGCCCAATCCTAAGGCTCCCAAGCCCACCCACCGCCAGTACTCTTGGGGTTTTCAAACTTGCAAGTGCTAGAGCGGGGCCTAGCCCCATGGTACATCTTGGGTTTCATCCATGTACGACTCGATGGTTCCTTCTACTTCGTAGGACCCAAGTATTATAGCCAAAGGTTGGGAACTCTTGAACTCTTGACTCTCGCTCGCTGCGTCACCTGGTCTCATGGCCCCATGGCCTGTGGTCAAACCGTGGGCTAAACTCGTGTGTGCTTCTCGCCTGCTGTATCACCATGACGAGAGGATGAGCACTGCGGTTTGCTTTCCACTTTACTTTTTGTTTCGAGACGGACGGGTCGACGGCTCCAGATTTTGCAGCCGATCTCGACCAATTTTGGCCATGCTCCGCTACAGCCCAGGACTTTATTCGCACGCTAGGCCGCATTTGTTGATTTCGGACGAATGAACACACCAGTCAGTCTGTGGTGGTCGACCCATTACACTACTTATTTCTGTTCCAACTTCTTCACGTTGTTCAGTGCCTCGAGCTATCCAACTACCCACGCACGATAAGACTTGCTTTCTCAAGCATCGCTCACTTCTACTCTTCGATGTGACTTAGAATTAGATGGAGATTTCAGCGGCACAAATATGATGGATGGATGACCAGAGAGCATTGATTGAATCTCCAACTACAATATTCTCTTGAGGAAGGGTGTAATGGAATTCCAGTTCTCTGAGGTGAAGGGCTTGTACGTCACTCTAACTGTCAACTCCATTGTCCTAAATTTGATTGCTTCGTTCAATCTTCCGAAAGTGATGAGATGATTCAGAAAGGCGAAGGGGGCCATAGCAAGTCATCATAATGTCCAGTTGCTTCTTTTCCAAAGGCTCTATCTTCGGATGAAGATAGAATGTGTTAAACAAAAGGAAGATTTGCATGTGTCTTTGGTGATGGATGGTAAAGATATCTTGTTCCAATTCGAGATCTCGGTTTTCTTTGGGTTTCCAATTCCGAGCAAATCAGCACACATGAATGGATGGATGCGCGTGCAAGGCGAAGTCTCACAAACAGAGCCTCGCGTCCTACAGAATCGAAACATGTGTGGGATCAATGGCTGGCTCTTCAACGAGCTCGAAAGAGAAAAGTACAACTCGTCCACGAGCGGTTCATTCAAAGGAAGGTTGGGATGAGAAGATTTTTGATGGCAGTCTGTCCGCAGATCTGCTGTTGCTGCTCCTGGAACGAAAGCAGTGTAGCGATGGATAAGAAGTAAAAGAATGTTTCTGAGAAAGTCCATGCGGCATTCGGCCCTCGCGTTGGCTCGTCCCATGTTGTCGCTCGGTTCTACTCTTTCTGACGGACGAGCACTTGGCGAACGCCCTTGCTTTTGAGGCTGCCTTGAGCCCGATTGATGCGTGGCATGAACGGAGATGAGTGTGCATGTGACTTGTTTGGACCAAGTCGCGGGGCGCTCGCACATGTTAACCTTGAGCCCTGCCCAGCCGACCGAAGTGTTGCAAAGAAGCATATCCGATGGCGGAGCAACAGAAACAGTGCTCGCTTCACAAGACGTCATACTTCTCGTGAGCAGCTCAGTGCACCTCTCGTCCTTCGCTCCGCCTTTCAGGAGGTGGCTTCGGGATAGGGCAAAATGGCAAAGGCTCATCTCGGCCATCCATGCGGCCCCAAAAAAGCGAGCGAAGTGTCGACTCCGAGCATCTAATTTGCTCCCGCATCGCTTTATTCATCCACTGTTGCTCAATTTTGCGACTTTTTGCCAATTGCCTAGACATATCCTCCCTCGCTTGCATCCAAGATTGTCATGTGTCGTCATCATCGCATCGAAAGGTTTGGCAACCTGACTTCCGTAGATATCTCACTCTGAACCAAATCGTATCGCCTTGTTTTGTTGACCGGGTTGCGAAGGTTCCGATCCTTCTGTGACCGTCACCGGTGCACAGCCAGCCCTTGTTGCAGCACGTTCGCCGGATAAAGCTCACCGCACCCGCCATGAAAACATCCACCCTAGTTTGAGAGCAACCGTCGGAATGGTTTTTGGGGATTTGTACAAGCTCGCATTAAAGATCTTCATGCACTTGCAAACATGTGAATTTTGGACGAACATTGCAGCTCGGAAATTATTCCTTAATTGGAGTCGTCTCGACATTTTGGTTCCGAGAGGAGAGGAGTGGGGTTCATGCTTCATGAACTCCAGAGCCCTGTATCGAAAGTTCTGGCCAATCGTCGTATGGGTGATACAAGATGCAAGCAATCATTTGGGAAAACGTGTGGAGGTTTGGAGACAAGGGATTGGGCAGATCCCAGAAAAACGAAATGTGCGTCCACCAGCGCAAACCCTAACGGACGATTGAGCTTCATGTAGGATGGCTGAGGGTAATGCAAAACGGACCGTCCTCTGGAGAATGAAAGACGACGTTTTGCAGGCCCTTCAGTCGGGCCATTATAGCTCCATGGCAGTAGCCTGCCTAGCCCAGACAAGGCGAAGGAAGGACGCATGCATATCTCAACGGGCTGCCTTTATATCAACTGCCGAGGCCCGAATGCCAATCCGGATAGGCATAATCAACACGATGCAGATCCCCCACGAAATCTATTGGGCTTCCAATTCCGCTCCTACATCCCTTGCGCGAAGCGGCTCCGTCGCCCCAAGTCAAAAGGATCATCTGACCGGACTTTGACTCAGCGCTCGATGCTTTCCTCGTGCTTAAGGAATAATCACATCGCCCTCCTCTTAAACCACATTTCACGTTCTCCTCTGCTTATTGCATGCTCATGCTAATTTTGATAAACGTCCGACGCAAGAAGCGATCGCCGGCACGTCGACATCTGCTCGCATCGACACGCGAACCGGAACGCTGAATCTGTCCTGCGCCATCCCCTTCTCTCCCCTCCCCTCCCCTCCCTTCTTCGGCACCCCACCCCAGAACTTGGGAGGCTTGTCAAACCAACAAAGAACAAAACGGTCATTGGGATCCGCGTCCCTCTCCCCCCTCCCCGAGCTCGGAGGAGCCCGGCCCGTGCAACCTCCGCCCGGTGGATAACGTCGTCAGAACGGGCCTCGTCTGCTCATCGAACCGACCATGCAAGCGGCATCGGATACCTTCACAGACCCCGTGATCAGCTGTCAGGCGGACGGAGCGATGTTCTCGGAATCTTCTGCGGTGGGCTTAACCGCGGTGCGAGTGGGCCTACTACAGACCGATGAACCGGGTCGACGTGGTCTGTCGAACTGCGACCTGCTTTTCTCGCAGCGTGTGCATGAATCTTCGGCTCGGCCTCTAAATCTGCCGACTCACGCAACGGGGCCCAGCCCGCGTGTCTGGACTGCAGTCCGGAAAGGGTCTACGATACAACCGATTGTCTCGAGAGCGTCGCTGAAGACGGCGAGACGGATGGCAATACCATCATGATGAATGATATTCCTCCTGTGCGTGGGCGTGGCACTGATAATTTCATCAACAGATTCCGAATTTTTTTATCCCCCATTTTGCAGTCCACTTTTTCATGCGCAGCATTCCACCCATTATTGCGCTGTATTTTACCACCTTGTTATGATATCGTACATGATTCATGTACCTTAGATTATGGGGTGTTCGATTTAACATATCGCAGGTCTCTTCCAGAAAATTGTACCACTGACTATCCTCATTCCCAATATTATATCCACACATTCATCGTGAGAAGAGGTCAACGGTGCCCACATTCACAATGTTTATACGCTTCAGTTCATACGAGACGAGATATTCAGATATTCCAACAAAACTGGCTAGAACCGCGTCCTTTCTTAAGTAACAACGTCGCAACAAGCAATATTTCAACACTTCAGTTATCGCTTGAACGATCAATCGATTAAATGGGCCCAAAACTTCACCTATCACAATTCTACATTCCACATGGCATTATGCTCGGCTTTGACACTCGAAAGTCAACCGTGAGAATGTTCCCACAAAATTATGAAACAATCACAATGCCAAAACTTCACTTCATTAGAATCATTGTTGTAATCTTCGAAACAAATACAGATTCTTCATTTTCAAAACTTTAATATCTGTTGCTTTAAAAAGATGTAGAATAACATTGTGTAAAATAAACACAACTAAAGCATATGTGCCTTTGAGACTCATCAGATAAATGTAAGATAATACAATAATGTAGAATAGACACTTGCTTCATGAGATCCAAGTAGACGATCAAATAATTGGAGATATCGTGTCCAGCCGTAATACTTAAAAAATTTCGTCAATCCGTATAATGAAGAAATTAATGGCTCGATCCTAATAGTTAAACGAGAGGAAATATCTTCTACCTGATCTACTATATCTCATTAATTTTTGAAAAAAACCCACATACATCCATCATTACAGCACTTAATGGCTTTGTTATATATAGCTTAAACTTATGTTTTCGTAACACATAACTTATAATATGCTCCAAAATAAGCTTACAATATTGAAACTAATGCACCCTCATATGATAAACTCTACTGCTCAAAATTGTGGATATGTGTATCCAAAGCTCTATATCTCTCCAATTAAAAAGAAACGAATATCTAGTGTAATTATAGAGTGCCATAGCTGTGATGTACTAGATGTCACTTCTTTTTCAAGATGAATATTTTTTTCAGCCCTTTAGAATTCTTCCACATTGCACAATATATATCTATGTAGATTATTCTTTTGAAAAGTGATAAGAACTATCAGTAAAGTCTAATTTCTCATACGAGATTATTTCTGTTATAAACTAAATACATTTACTCATTAACAATACTTTTCAATTTTTAATATCAATTTTTTAGATGATGAAATCCAACCTTAAAATTCTGCACACGTTTTTAACAAATTTTCTCAATGAAATTAATAAAATTTAAATTAGAATTTGATTTAATTTTAAATTAACATATATATCATAATCACGTGAATATCGATTAAA